GTGGCAAAAATACAGAATTAGTTATAACCTGTACTAGTTTAGTTAGCACTAGTTATTAGCTGCACCATAATTTCCATTGAGTTGAATGAAAATTAAGAGCCAGAAAGGTTTGCAATAAATTAATTACACTTGCACACACTCAGTTGATTAGTTTCCACTTTGAACATCTCCTTCACATCACCATTCCTGGACAATTCCTGAAAATGGCAGAGCACTGCCCAGAAGGCAAACACTAGATCATGAATATGGAAACAGAAGAAGTTTGAAGATGGATAAAATTTGCACATTTGCAGATTTTATCACTTTGAATCCCATAGAAATGCTATAACAAATCCAGGCTTTAGTGTTCTTGCTGACACATCTCCTCCTCAGCACCAGCACCTGCAGATTTCTTATTCACAGAAAATTAACACAGTACAAATTACTGATCAAAGAATTTTTTTGCCTCCAGTTTATTCAATAAATGTTTGCGAAGCTGGAAGATCCTTCCAAATGATGGAAGTAGTAAATCTCCCACCATCAATGAGATGATCATTTATCGGAGTCGGCAGTTCAGAGTAGACTGACCTTGTCTAGTTTTCACTAGCTAGGAGAACAAGATTTCTGGAAAACGATGGAGAGCTGAATTCAGTTACGAATCACTACAACGGAGAAGCCATTCCTCATTATTAGTCAGGTAAATGAGAGCAGCTGCATACACACCAAACACAGTTGAAATCCACCTAGATAATTACTTATATGTAAGCATATAGAGTTCTAAAATAGTTGTCTGTTTAACTAATGAGGAGACTGTCTCTAAGTGATGGAATTAAAACATTCAGAATTGCATTCCAAAAACTGTCCTCCCTCATTTTGAGAAAAACATCTGTGAAAATCTTTTCAGGAATATGTTGCTGGACTTTCCTAGGATAGCTGGACATGCTGACTTTTAAGGCATCCCTTGAGCTACAAAAGGCTCAAAAGTTTAGCTCCAGAATTACTCGTGAGATAAAGCAACAGAACTGGATAAAATTTAGCTTGTAAACCACAAAGCCCTTCAATATATATAATTTTGTACTATTAAGCACTAATATCCATACCATATTTTACAAACAGCTATTAGCAACTCAGAAGAACATCAGGTCAAATGACAATTGAAAAAAGTAGGCTTAAGGCAGCTTAAGGTCAGTATGTTTAAAGCAACTACTTACTTCAAATACTGAAATGCTTTTAAGTAGCTGTTAAGACATCCCTTAAGACTTCATTTATCTCCACAGAGGTTATGAACATTAACATCTGTTCATTCTGAAAATTGGGTTATCTTTGTATTCTGTAAGGTACCCAAAGAGACACATAGCACATGAACACTTATTTTGTTAGCAAAGTAAAAAGACAAAACACAGGTTATTCTCTGTTGAGTCTCCCAACTGCTAGCTTGTCCTAAAATATGTAAACTTTCTTTCTTGACTTCCTTCTTGGGGAAATAACTATCACTACTGAAAGTATCATCATCTACAATATTTTTAGGCGCTACAGAAGTGAAAATAATTTAATTTCTGTCAATTTCACAAAATGTATGCATCACTTCAAATTTCTCAATAGAAAAGTCAGAAGTTTGTGTTCTAAGAAACCTTGCAAAAGAATTCAAAGCCATTTCAGAGCCTTTTATAAGAATAATTTTTTCAGAAATAAAGAGGTAAAGATCATAGTGAAACCATGCCATAAAATCCAAGGCAGTTAGGGGAAGCGTCCCACCTTAAGCTGTTCTAACCTGTGATGCCATCACACCAAATATAACACATTAATGGTGCTGTGAGAGATGAGGTGCGTTGCATCAACAACATGATACAACAGCACCCTCTCTCAGGACATTCTGAAAAATACATAATCGCACAAGGAATCACAGACTTCTAAGCAACTGGAAGAGCTGGCAAGTACCAGATACTTCAATCCTATCTGACCTTTCCTCATAAGAAGGACAAAAACATTTTGAGCATTTTGTACCTTCTGAACAGCCACCTGCATCCTTCCGTGCCCAGCTACTCCTTGTTCTCTTCTCCCAACCCATTTATTCAATACCAAAAAGAAATCAAACACCACCAGAACATTAGGGTAAGGTCTATTTCCCCAGTGGAAATATTGCCTTGCTTCCCAAGACAATACTGGCAGTACACCCTATATTTTGAAGCAAAAATAATTTTAGTAGTTAAGTATTTTGAATCGCAAGGGGAGCCCAATGAAGTAACATGCTATGAAAGGGGAATTAATGATTTTATTGTTCATTCTTTCTAACTTGCATTGCTCACTACAGATGCTTATTTAGCTCCATTTATTTGCTAATTTAAGGATTTCTTTGCACACAGTCTCAGATTCATTTCAGCTCAGGCTGTGACAGATAATACACTATTCATACTGCAAAAATGTCTATCTATCTCAACACTTCTTGCCCTAGCCTGCAATTCCAGGTATCAATTCAATTACTTAAATTGACTTTAGCAGTTTGGTTCTCTGCATGTTGGTATATATGCAAAGCATGCCACAGCATGGCAGAGGCTCTGAAATGCTCACTTCCTTAACTGAAAATTGCTAGTGGAGGCCAGGATTACATATGAAGTATATTAAAAAAATAATAATAAAAAAAGGATTCCAAGGACAAGTATTCATTGCATATGAAGTAAAACTTCGAGTCCATTTATTTGATGATAACGTACAATTTATGGTACATTCAGAAGTGTCCATAGTCTTAGGAAGGCCAGGGTTTTATACTGAAATGAGACAGCAGGAACAAATGGATTGTGCAAAATGATGGGAGCTGAGAGCACCAGGTTTTAAATTCAGATATGTCATTGTAAAATGAGGGTAATATTTACCCACAGCTTTCACACAGATGTCATCATTTTGAAGGAATAAATGCTTGCTGCTACATTTTGAAGACAAAAAGTGCATTTCTCTATTATAATGAGAATTAAGATTTTTAAGAGTAGAAGTTTTACACTATCTGAACTACAGCTTCCTTATATTCACACAGCTTCCTTACATCCATTTACGCAAATTGTGAGATAATTTGACACAACTTCTTTCCATGTAGATAACATACCAGGCAGAGAATGCAGAGGAAGAGAGTTGTTCATCCTGCAAACTGCTGCATAGACAAATAGCAAAGCTAAGAGAAAAAAATGTCATGCAGAGGTTAACTGTGACCTGTTCAAATACAAGTATTTACCCAGACAACACAGAGTGCAAGGTCTGTGACAGAGTTCAGTTGCACAAAGCTCCATGAGTTGCTAGAGTTGCCTGAATCTGTTCTGGAGTCTCCACCCTTGGAGATATTCAAAATCCAACTGGACACAACCCTGAGCACCCTCTTCTAGATGACTTTGCTTTCAGCAAAGGTGTTGGACTGGACACTTTCAGGGTCCCTTCCAAGCTCAGCTATTCTGTGGTACTGCGATACTCCACTGAAACACAATCTCTCTGTTCAAAGATAGATATTAATCACGTCCTAATCTACTTTTAGATCCCTCACATTTAAAACACTTTATGGTAGCAGATCTTTGTGAACATTCAGAACTTTTCTCTGTTTTGCAGATTATCACATACTTGAGAAAATCCTATAAAAAAATCTTCAGAAATGAGCACGTCCAGCTACAGAATTCTCATATTTGGTATTTTAGGGTTACATAAGTGATTTTCTGCTTCTGTGCTACAATTCGCACAGCTGTATGAGCACACTATTGATTATATACATCCGCAAAGCATTTTAATGATGGGAGGGCTGCCTCAGGACTGTCTCTTCCAACTAGGAAGGCAGCAGATGGGGAAATGACATGTCAGATACAATTGAAGCAGATCCTCCAAACCAGACAGGTGACACATGAAGCAACTTTGCACAGTCCAAGAGTTCATGTGGTGGCCACAAGGGCCTCATGCAGGCAGCGGGAGCCGCTCATAGGCAGCACATGCTCCACGCCTGAGATTTCTACCTAAGAGCCACAGAGGTCCAATGGCAATAAAAAATTGATAGAGATGTTTCATGTTCACAGTACTCTTTTCAGAATCTGCCTCATGTTAAGTCTTGCCAGTTGCCAATCAAAATTAAAAAAAAAAAAAACACTTTGCCTACTTCTCTCGAGATTTTGCAAAATTGAAGTTTCCATAATTTACGTAGTTTTGACATCAAATTGATTTCTTGAGTTCTAAAGTCCGTGGTGTGACTCACGCACCTCAAAAAGGAAAAAGTAAAAACACGGCAAATCAGACCCTGACAGTGTCACCCCACGTTGCCTCCCTGTTACTTCTCCCTCTCTTGGGCACCTCTCACTGAATCAGACGACACTTAACTTGGGAGTAATTCTCCCAAGATCAGCTACTGCCATGCAGCGTTTCCGAACTGTCAATGACGTTTTAGCCTCTACGTGACACGTAGAGAACTCTTCCCTCAGCACGTTGTGTGAAGAGGTGTTATAGAGAAATGGGCACCAGAGTAACTGCAGATATTGGAGATCATTTAGCCTTCATGCAGGCGTGGGTTGTGCTGTTGTAATTTGGGTAACTCATGCAGTGTCAGTTTGCTCTATTTCATGCATGACTCTAAATGTAATAAAGCTCTTCCAGATACGCAACAATTTAATGATAATTTAATGATGATCAGAATTTTAAAAACTGAGATTTATGTATCAAATTTTTGCTCTCTAGCAGAACCATCCTAAACTTGCTTACTAGTGGGCATAAAGTACTGTATTTAGTGACAACCGCTTATTTAAACGCTAGAAATGGGAAGCATGAGTCTATTATCCATTCATGAGCCCATTAACCATTATCAGCCCACCCGCTTCCCCCCCAAACGCCGCCATTTTGCGGGGAGAGGAAGGCCGGACTCCATTTCCCGTGAGGCCGAGGGGGAGGCGAGGCCGCCTGGGGGGGCGGCGGCAGCAGGGCGGCCCCGCGACCCAGCGCGACAACGGCCGCTGTTCTCGTGCCTTTTTCACCGCGTTTCCCGCAGCGGCGCCAGAGGGAAGAGGAGGGAGCAGCAGGAATGGCCACGGGGACGGTTCTGATCACGGGAGGAGGCGGTTACTTTGGCTTCCGGTTAGTGCGGGCACGCAGCAGATGGAGCAAGAGGCGCCCTGGTCTTGTTTGCTCTGTTTTCGGGCTGTTCATATGGGCTTAGGGCAGCAAGTCATCACCAGCAGCAGAAAAAAGAAACTCTAGAAGAAATCTGGCTGATTCTCACTCAGTTAATTTCCCTGCTGACGCCTTGAAGCACTGCAGAAACGCAGTGGTTGTAGGAGAGAAAGGGGAGGATCATCAGGTTTATCTGTTGTGTAAATACCTGCGTTCAGATTGCTGACTTGACTAGAGTTGGGCAATAGGACAATATAGTCATTCCAGCGGACTTAGAAACAACTCCCTTAAGCCTCTTTGTAAAGTTCAGGCTTAGCAGCGGAGACCAACCTACTATGCAGTCAGATTTGGGGTGGCACAAAAAGCAATAAGATATGCACGTATAAATATATTTAAGCATATATAAGGCTAAGGACCTGCATGTAAACAGTTTGTTCGTGTTGAGTTGCAGGAAACAGCAGGGTAAATGGGCTCTCCCAAAGGACAGCTGAAAGCCCTTTGTTTCTGCTCTGAATTGCCCCCTGTGCACAAACTTTGCTTTAAGCTATACTTGGAGCCTGAAGGATCTAGTTCAGTGCCTTAAGTTTTTATGAACCTTCCTCATAAGTAGATATTTAAATATTTTTTTAAAAACAGCAAAGAGCATGGATACTAAAATAGTTAACAGGTTTCTCTTACCTCCAAGTGAACAGTTTGGTCCATCCTTGCGCTACGTGCACTAACACATGGTTTCTGTCACGCTTTAGTTTAGGCTGTGCCGTGTATGAGAAGGGAGTTGATGTGATTCTGTTTGATGTCGTGGAGCCAACGCAGGCCGTGCCGGAGGGAGTGAAGTTTGTGCAGGGGGACGTCCGTCGTCGCTCTGAAGTGGAAGAGGCTCTCAGAGATGTAACCTGCGTGTTCCACATCGCGTCCTATGGGATGTCTGGCAGGGAGCAGCTGAACCGAAAACTCATAGAAGATGTGAATGTGAAAGGCACGGAAAATGTCATCCAAGCCTGCAAGACCATGGGAGTGTCAAGTCTGGTTTATACAAGTACATACAATGTGATATTTGGGGGCCAGATCATAGAGAATGGGAATGAGTCTCTGCCTTACCTCCCTCTCCATCTTCATCCAGATCACTACTCCCGGACCAAAGCTTTAGCTGAAATGAAGGTGCTGGAGGCAAATGGTGCTGAGCTTAGGAATGGGAAAGGTGTGTTAAGGACTTGTGCTCTCCGACCAGCAGGCATCTACGGGCCTGGAGAGCAAAGACACCTTCCAAGAATAGTTAGTTACATCGAAAGGGGTCTGTTTAAGTTTGTATATGGAGATCCTCATAGTTTAGTAGAATTCGTACACGTGGATAATCTGGTTCAGGCTCATATCCTTGCATCAGAGGCCCTCAAAGCCAGCAAAGGACACGTAGCAGCCGGCCAAGCCTATTTTATTTCAGATGGCAGGCCAGTAAATAACTTTGAATTTTTCCGACCTTTGGTAGAAGGCTTGGGTTACAAATTTCCAACCTTTCGTCTTCCTCTCTCCCTTGTCTATTTTTTTGCCTTCCTCACTGAAACAGCTCATTTTCTTATAGGTCATGTTTATAATTTTCAACCTCTCCTTACTCGTACAGAAGTTTACAAAACTGGTGTCACACACTATTTCAGCATGGAGAAGGCCAGCAAGGAGCTGGGGTATAAGCCTCAGCAGTTTAACCTAAACGAAGTAATTGAGTGGTTTCGATCTCGGGGATGTGGAGCAAAGCCAAGGCCGTACACCAGGAACTGCCTTCTTAGGGATGGAGGGTTGGTCTTGCTCCTGATTGCTCTTTTGGTCTCATGGTTTCCATGTGCAGTTACATTTTCACTCTGAAAGGTCAAACACTTCAGTATTTCAGCAGGACAGAACTTAGTTATGTTGAGTTTTCGTGGTTTTGACAAATAAAAGATGAGGGATTCAGGAAACTCTCTTTACTGCTTCTTTCCTTAAAGAATAGAACTGCTGAGTAAAAAAGGTGGTATTTTTATACATACTTGTTCAAAGTAAAACTGATCAGACCATCACACCAACGGGAAAGTTCAGCACAACTGCAAATGTCTTTTTACCTTCAGGTGCAGTGTATGGAACACATGACCCTTCTTCCTCACTGGTGACATTATAGTTTTCATTTCTGTTAAATTTGTGCCTGGACAAGAATGTCACATTCCAAAAGCCAATCCTACTTTTAAGCTTGGATACATATATGCCTAAATAAGAACAACGTCGCTGAGGTACTAGATTAACTGTTCAACAATAAATAAATGCATTACTTTTTAAATAAGTATGGTCTGTTTTTTGTTTTGTTTTTGAGGAAACTCCGATGACTTATTTCTGGAAAATGCACTGCAGTTCATCTGAGTTACAGCAAAGTGCTTGAAGCGGCACAGACTTGTAGATTTTTCTAACTGTAAAATACGCCTGTTTAAAATGAATGAGCCAGCTAAAGTGCATTCGTAAAAAAACAGCCATTATTTTCGCACATTACTGAATGCTTAAACAAACAAACAATCTATCAAGGACATTGGTAAGCGCTTATGTTTGTTTCCTGCCTCTAAAACATTTTTAGCCTTTATGTCTTTAACACCACACCTCATTTGAACAAAACTTCATCTTTCTAGTAGGGTGGCTGAACTCAGAATTGTGGAGCGACAGTTTTAAGAACACAAGATTTTGTGAAGTACAGATTGCCGCCATCTATATTCAGTACTGTCTCTTTTAGTTTAATATAAGAGGAGGTGCTGAGAACCTCCTATCAAAATGTTAGAAGAGCAAATTCTTTTCTTTTAGCATTATGAAAACCGTAAGAAACTTGGATCCTTCCTGTTGGGCTGCTTAATCTGCAAAGCTCAGCTGGATGTACACAGCTAGGGGCAGGGGCAAGAAGGGAAACCAACAGCTCTGACCATTCCTTCCTTGCTCAAAGGGGCACTGTCCTGTGCAAGGGTGTTGCTGCCGCACTGCAAGTGGGATAGAGACCAACACAGCAACACAAACCGTTGTTTTACCCACCTGCACAACATGAAAGGAAATGTATTTTTCTCCCCTTCCTTCCTCGCTACAAAACCAGTTCATCCTTCCACAGAAGCTGCCCACAACACATGCAGCTTTTCAAGTCATCCAGTCAAGGACGGAGCTTCTCAGTGATCACAGGAGTCATTATTTGTACTAAACACTCACAACTCTGCTTGAGCACGGGGACTAAATTTGGGCTAATTCAGAGAAACAAATAAGCAGTGGTTGGTCACTGGCTCTTGCAGACCAAGTTAAGACAGAGGTATATTCAGTAATATTTTGTCATTTGGCTCCATCTAGTTAAAAAAGCAGAGTCCTGACTATGGGAGATGTGAAGAATGTTTATCCCCTCTTCTACTTTTCAAAATGAAAACAGGAAATGTGTGGCTTAAGATATTATTAAATGGCTTGAAACCTATATGATGTACAAAGACAGTCATGGCTGCTCCCTTTCAGGACTTTTACAATATGAATTTTCTCCTCCTTTTTTATTAATATTATTGCTCGAACAGCTGTGTAAATTAAAGTAATTAATCAAGTGTTAGGTCTGTCTCTAAAGTTTAATGTATTACTTGTTTTCCTGAAAGTGAAATTACTAGATATTAATCTAAAAAGTGAAAAAGCAGAATTTTAAATACAGCTCATCTTCATTTTTTACTACTTCAAAATTATTCAGCAATTGATATATCTCTCTTTGACTGATAGTGATGCTTAAAGTGAACAGCATAAAGATTCTGACAGCTGCTTAATCTCGCAGTTGTAGCATATCAACATAAAGCTAACGTTTGCCAAACATACACAGCTAATACTTTATATATGGTTGTATTTATTTTTATAGTTTAAATATCAAACACCCATCAAGCAGACTGGTTTTCTAAAGTCTAAGTCACTCCATCATTTTTTAAGTGACCCAGTGAGAACCTTCCTGTGATCTTTACAGAGAAGGGTCTTACAGTCTGGTAGTTTATTCATATTGTAAAAGATCTAAGGACTAAATTACAATTCAGGAATGCAGGAACGAGTGTTAAGCAAGTTACTTCTGCTTTATTTAGGTCAGTTCATGATTCTCCATTTTGTAGGACTAGTATGTAGGAATATAGATTAGCAATGAATAGAATTGGGCTTTAAATTCTAAAACTAATAGCTGTACTTGCTTATAAATGCCATTATGGAAGAAAATCTTGGTTCTCGACTGATTCAGAAGGATGATTTTCATTATATTTAAACTCTATTTCTAATGAAGCAAATGGACTTCCAGTCTGGAACAAAGTCAGCACATGGAAATGCTGACATTGAAAGACAGCACTGTACACACAGTTTTTGTCCTTCGGCACGGTTCCTCAGTTTCCATGCTGCATTCGTTCACAGCTAGTTTGGAGATTTCAAAGATAATGACAGTGAGCCAGCATCAGCTATCCTGCAATCAGGAAGGGTAGTTTAAAAACTGCAAAAAAAAAAAATTAACAAAAGTGTCTACAACCAAGAGAATTCTAGATATATTGGTGAAAAAAAATGTTCACAAGACTTCAAACATTTTAAAATTCTCAGCATGAGCATAATGCACATTCACTCCACAGCACTTTTGTCCATGCAATTAAGACAAACTCACAGGCAGAAAACGCCAATATAATTTATGGTGAACATCAAGATTATTATTCTTACAAACCATTATAAACTTCATCTTTGCCTTGTTCAGACTTTATTAAGTCGATACAAACCTGATACTCACTATAGCAGAAGTTAATACCCACTTGTTCCTGAACAAGGCGATCTTCAGCCCTTTTCCTTCTTCCATACCTGTTTTTTACCCCAATGAAGTGTAATAATAATGATTTCTATGAAAACAATAATTTAGTCAGTTCGTCTTTAAAACATGTAACACCTTCTCCTCTAGGAGGACAGTAACACACCACTCATCAGTTAAGAACTCACTCATACTACCTGAAATCACTGGTGATTTTAAATCCTAACATTTAGTGAGCTATGCTTAAACAATTTTAAAACTGTTTCCAAGAACATAATTTAAAGATACTTAAAAAAAAAAAAAAAGGAACTTTTTCTCCACAGATTATAAAATTAGCGCACATATTTAAATCTATTTTCATATTAAAGCAGTCTGTAGTTACTACAAAGTCTGCCCTGATAAAGAAGTCAGAAGTGGCTTTTTGCTGGAGTTTAACAGGAGTTAAAATGCAGAAGGCAAGAATCAAGCAGAATGTTATTATGTAGCCTTGCTTGTCACTTCCAAGCCAACAAAACAGCCAGTGCAAATTTTTTTTTTCCTTCAAAACACAGTATTACAGAAGCCTCCCCATCTTGGGACACACTAAAACAGCACTTTCATCTCAAGATAGACAAGACAAGACTTTTCAGAATAACTAAAACCTCAGGGAGTTCCCCAAACCATCCTGTGCAAATGCACAACGGCATCAATTAAAATAACCTTGAGACTGGGCAAGTCTGTGTAGGGAGCAAGAGAAACTGAAAACTGCTGAGGCAGCTTCACCAGGCAACAAATCCCAAATCCACGCATGCCTTCTGTCATCAGAAATACTGCAGTATACGTATGCAGCATGTTTTGCCTCAGGCTGTCCCTTAGGCTTAAGAACTCAACTCCTCTGCAGGCATTCGAAAGGTAAAGTCTAACATACAGGTAACAAAATTCCTCCCATGTAGAAAAAAAACAACTAGGAATTTCATATTAAGGACACAGCACTTGCATGAAGAACCAAGACGTACACATATCGCGACATCAGACTCAGCCGTGCCATCCAAAGACTTCATTTCTGCTCTTACAGGAAAGCAAACTTGCTAATCCAGCAAGTTTTCTGTTTGCCATCAATGCCTTTTGTTTGACTAAAGCCATAAAAATGATTTACCTCGAGATTTGTGGATAGAATCGTTCCTGAATTAGATTCCTTTAGGGAAAACTCTTGACATTTGATGCTATCATCTATGCAGGCTTGCAAGATTAAAAATGGACAGTTTGTGAAAAATTCACTTCTAAGCACATTAGGAGCTGAAAGTATTTGTGAGATGATGCTATACCAAAATAAATCTTTTCAGCATTTGAAACACTCTTTTCAGGAAATAAAGAGCTCCTAGCACACATATTAAAATGTTTTTCTTCCACCGCCCTGAAGTTTTATGTAATACAATGCAGCTTCGCACATCTTAACCCATTCAACAGGAAAAACACAACTACAGTCTTAGAGAATATCTGGTTTAACAAATTTAACACATTCATTGGTTTCCAAAAACCCACAAGAAAACTTCCAGCTGCCCAAAATTTTATGTACAGTGTCAGAGGTACAATCTGCTGCCTTGGCTATTGTAACATACATGACAATGCTGGTGTAAAAGTGCTATTACAGCATTTAATAAATTAAAAACTCACTACCAGTTAATCCTAAGGAGCTAGGTTGTTAAAGTGATGTGATTCCATGCATGCAAACTGTTGTGAATATCTTATCCTGTGTACAAAAATACAGTAGATGATTTATACTTGTATTTCAGGTATCAGTAAAAGGTGAGATTTATGCAGATACATACAGCTAATCACATGTCCTCAACTTTTAAACATCTTGCTGTTATTTTCCTCATGATTCTACAGTTGCAATGCTGGATGCAAACAATACCTTGAATATACAGAAAAACTGGCCTGAACAGAGAGTATGCTTTGTACAGAATATAAATTATTAGGAATGAGAAGTAAAAACAGTTTTTCTTATAACAAAAAATTAAGGAAATCCATCTTTCCTCCTCTTCTGTTCATTCATCCTGACGAGACCTTCACTGAGCAGGGTAACCAGGACAAATCAGTATCTCTTCCCAACTTGCTCCATAAAACGTGCTCAAAGAATGATTGCTCTAAGAGTAGAATTTGCTATTACTGACTTTCTTCTCCTTTAATCTTAAGAGGAAAGAAAAGAAAAGAAAAGAAGTATAATGTACTAGGCATTTCTAGGAGAAAAACAGTATACCAAGCTCAGTTCCTTTATATATAAATGGCAAATAATGCATCAGCATCAGGTACAGCAATCTTTCCCCAGTAATTGCAAATTAGCCAGTGATAACTCAGGCAGCCAATCAACACATTAAAAAAAAAGCATTTAAGGAAAAGTTTTCCTCCCACCTGAATCCAAAGGCTATGGAAGGATTAAAGAACTGTTCAAGACCTCCTCCTAGTACAGGAAGCTTCTATCTCCTGCACACCCAGGCCAAAGATGGCAAACAAAGGAGATATACCTTTTCCCTGGGCCTAGGAAACCATACTGATGCTTAACTGACAGTTCCATGTTGTTGCAACTGACTGTTATTCTTATCTTTTGTGCTTGATGGACCTGCAAATATGATTTGTTCTCACGTATTTAAAACACTAATGACACACTTGCAGGGGCACAATTCAGGTGGTTATTTATTTGGCTGTATGATCTGAAAAGCAGGGGAAAAAGTACACAACCTCCCGGGATTTCATCCTTCACAGATGTCACCGAGCAGACACATCCCCAGCCTGCTGGCCTCTAGCAGCTCACAGCCCAGCACTTCCTTCCTTGCAGCTCTTTCTTGCTCCAGACACTCATCCCACTATGGCCACCCTTTGTATCACTGTTGGTTTAATAAATCTGAGATTTATTTCGCTACACGTGATGTCTAGATAGTGCTGCTTTGGAAAGGAGAATGAATATCAACCCACCTGCGGTTGCATGTCTCTTGATAGATCTGTAATTTGTGATCATTTACATTGAATTCTTTTAAAATAGCATCTCTGTTTGGATTCCTTAAATTCAGATGGGTGTCATAAAGGAACAGCTGGTTATTAAGTTCCTCCTGGCGCTTTCGAAGTTGTCGACATGAGGAATAAAGCTCTTCTTCACTTTCCTTCAAAAAGAATATTGGAAATCAACATAACTTGTAAGACACATTCCCAAAAACCGTGTTGATTCTGTTTGATTTTGAACAGTTTTTCCTTCCTGAGCACATTACATTGTGTTATAAAATATTTCTGTAAACAAAATAACTAAATAAGAAATCACTGAAAAAACAGAACTCAGTGCTACCACGTTACCAGCCGTGGCATCTAGCAGGGATGTGAGGTACATTACAGCATGAATCATGAAATGTGTATGTCTAGAGACGTGCACTGGATATCTACTCATTTTTGCCTAGTAGAGCATATCAGCATGTTGAGGAAAAGCCAGCAAGTGGTGTATCATGCTGGGCCATCGTGTTATGACAGTTTAAAAATACATACTAAAAAAAGTAATTTTTGACTGTTCCATGACATTTCCATATTAGGTCACATACTGCCAGTCCTGGTGCTTTCCTTTTGAAATCTTGATTAAAAGTGAGAATACGGAGTAGTAAATGGACCCCCTAACACCAGCAAGTGCTCAGCTGATCAAGAAGGGAGGGCAGATCCTTTACTTCAGCAGAGCTGTGGCTATTTAATACTTGCAGAGGAACTGACTTATTACTTGAAGATTAATTTGCAGTAGTCTGCATTTCTGTTCTTGCATACTGCCCACAGTAGAAAAGTCTCTCAAAATTATCCACAAACATAAAACAACCATTAAAATTCTCTTTATGATTTCATTTTTTTTAATGCTTCAAAACTTTGGATACACAAGCAGTTTCCTCTATAGAGCTACCAGTGGCTAAGGGTATTGGCAGGACTGAAGTCTTAATTTTCACATCAGTAGCAAAACAAGATACTCATCCTGCAAGAAATGACACACAATCAATACATACAATAAATCCAAACACTTTCAGAGATGGCATACCAATAAGCATTCCTCTTTCAGCATTCAGCCCAGACCTAGGAAAATAGGCAGGTCTAGCAGCCTGCCCCATGGCTTCAGTTTGGGGATAAAGATCCTTCCTCTACTTTTCTTTTTCCTCTCAAAAGATTTTCCTCAAGTCCCTGATGTGAGTTGCAGGAGTTGAAAATACAGCCTCAGTTCTATGCTACAGATTAAGATAAATATATATATTTATATTTATATATATATTTAAAGCTTTGCTTTCCTAAATCACAAAGGGAATAAACAGATTGTCAATTAACAATTTGCACACATAATCAATATGCCTAAATATTATTATTTGTTCTCGTAAATAAATGTATCCACAAAGCTAGACTAACACTCCATTTAAGAATGCCCACTTCAATCTCCAGGTTAAAAACTACGCACTTTCAAAGCTGACTGTAATCAGAAAATGCTAAATAAAGATATGCATGGTTCCCAAAGCAAGAAAATCAGTTTTCAAGCAAGTAAAACATGCTTTTAAACGTCCTAACAACTTCATTGAACTGTGATTTCTACATTCTGACTGTGTAACCAAAGATTGTGGTTGAGTTGAAAAGGACCTGTTAAAGGCCCAACATGATAATTCACACACATTCATGCTTACATTTATAATATTCTTGCTTCTCTGAGAAATTCCACAGCTATCTGTAATCCTCTTTATAATTTTGCATTTCAGCTTCGAAAGTACGCAGACAGACTTTCTATATAAACAGGCCTCTTATTAAATTACATCAGTTTAAGGAGGAACATCATTTAAAACAGGGTGGAAGAACAGATGGATAAAGCCTTGATCTTTTCTGATGCTTCTCCAATGATCTGGCAAAGGTTTTAAAGGCTGATTTACTGTGGCTAGACTTGGTTTGCTGCAGACTGCCAAACAAAAGCAAAAAATCTTTGAAGTTCTCTTGCTGTTGCATTACCACCCAGAAATGTCAGACATTGTAAAGCCAGAGGTGTGCTGCATCTTCATCTGCTTTAATAAGCAGAAGGGCCTTAAAGAGTGTGAGATGTGCTGCTGTGAAAACGACTTGGTGCTGACAGACTGGGAGATACACTGCTGCTACGAACGCTTTAAGAGGCACTCCTGCCCCAGGCAAATAACGAGCTGAATTTCTGAAGCAAAACCAAGGCAGGCAGGATCTGCAATGTACCTGCAAGTGATACCCACGCTCACGGCATTAGGCAATGCTGAGTTATCAGTTTTCTCAAAGGTATCAAGTCCAAAAAAAAATAGTTAGGCTAATCTGGCTTTCTATATCAGGCTCATCTCCACAGAATCTGAATGTTTAAATGCTATTTTTGAAGGACGTGGATGTCTTCTGTTTGCACGTGCTCAGTCTCAGCTCCTGGCCTTCTCGACTCCTTTCCAGGCAAGAGGGAAGTGACCATGGCTGCAACTGAATTTGAACTAGTGTTTTTCTACAGTATCTAAGAACAAATTGTCAGATGGCAGTATATCAGACATGGAATAGAAAGCTAAATCCTCATATGCTGATTTCCACAAAAAAAAAAAAAAAAAAACCCACAATGTTCTACGTGCAGCAAAACAAACTAGTGGTTCTCACCAGAACTTGTTGCATTTCACAGTGTACCAGAAGCGAGGCCAGCTCTATATCTTCACTATAGCCGTTCTTGAGAGGAACTGATCTAAAACCTGAAGAAATCAAATACGAAGGACAATTAGAGTAAAGACAGAGGATTATATGCAGGCACAAAAAAGATGCAAGGTATCCCAGACATAACTGATGCATCCCTGCTCAGCTGTGGTGCTGCTGAGAGCAGACTATGCTGTAGTGACTACAGGGAAATGCAGCTCTGAGAAACACGTGATTTCATATGTGCTTGAAAACTACAGATAGGTACAGAGAAAAATCAGAGAACTTAACTCTAGGTACATCCACATCTAAGGCAATTAGTAAACCACCAAATTATGAAATGAATCTTCCCAGATTTTACTCAGATTTACAGAGCACCCTCAATCGAAGGAAATCCACAGTTAAAAGAGTTAAAGACATGACAGTGAGAGTAAGGAGATAACAATGATATCAAAATATTGATCTTGTTGCTTTCATCTGAACTACATCACAAAGGGGTAAAAGAAAGAACAGCTGTCCCTTACTGGAACCTTCCACCTTCGGATCAATGAAGTCAATGAAGAAATTTCAAGACAGGCTTGGAGAGGGATTTTAAATGCTTGCACACAACACAGCCGGTACCGTAATAAACAATGGATTAAAGGAGCCCAGGTCAAAGGAGCATGTTGGTATTCCGGCACACTGCAGCTGCTACTGGGAGCAAAACTGCAATACAATAATGCTAAAAAGCATCTTTCTGACTTGACCTGTTAGTGTATCTACTGATCTTTACCTGATTTGATTCCTTTGATGGGAAAAGTGGCATGTGCTAAGAAATTGGGGTCACTGAACATATCTTCCTCATAAACCACAAAGCGCAGAAACGCCAGATTTGGATCATAGATTTCAAATTTCACCTGCTCTGGACAGGGCACCCAGACCGGATTAAGGCCGTTGTCATCTGTAATGAAAAGGAAACATTTTCAATATGAAGCAATAATTCAATTTAATACACACATGGGTATATAGCTCAGGAAATTTTCTGGGGATACAAAGGTCCCCAAATCCTATTTCTCGTTCTGATGTTGAAATCTTGCTTCAAGAGGTTAGTTTTTATTTGTTGCTGGGCAGTGGTTGGAACAAGATGGCAGAGATGGAAATCCATGAAGAAAAGCTATTATTTAAATATACAAAGCCTTCTTGGATATGTAATTGTAAAAAGCTAATTCATTTCTCATTCATGACCCACTTCATATCAGTGTATAAGCATCAAATATATTGGGAAGATAAATGTAAGCTAAATTTTCATATTTATTTATGAAGTACGGAGTATTTTGGTGTGTTTAATACAGTCAAAAGTCTGCTAAGGTCTTGGTCACCACAAAAAACTCTGAAATGATAATTCTCTTCTCTGAAGTACTCAATAGCTACAATGAGCATTCTGGTCCTCACTCTGTCTTTACCAGACTATACAGAATCATAGAATCATATCCCAGACTATTTCAACAGCACAGTCTGAATCTCATGGTAGTTGAATCCACTTGGAGCAGAGTTTTGAGAAATGACCAGCAGTATTGAAGATGATTGCAAAAGAGCACTTTCAAGAAAATGCAAATTACACACTCACATATAGACAAAATTGTTAAAGAATTGCAGCTTTTCTGAACCAAAACAATTTTTCTCTCAACTTGATAGACATTGAAGTTTCTCAAATTAACCAGCCCTAAGACAAGCAACATAATAATACTGTGTGACAGTGAAGTACAACAGTCACCATGTTTCTCCCTGTGTAGCTTGTTGTCCAGTTACAGACATCATAAATTCATACTCAACCATATATAACCATATTCCCACGACACAGAAATCTGCAGATACTCACTCACAACTGTTGTCTTGAATTTGTTGTTATCGTATTCGGCCCCATAAATTTCTACCTCTACAAAGGGACAAGCAATGCTTCTACCAGGCTTGGGAAGATGACGAGCACCTAAAACCTGCAAGAGCACCGGTGAATTATAACCATGTCTGAAGGAAGCTCATTACCTTTATTTCTGCACAGAAAGAAGCTCAAAGAACTAAGAGGCAATTCCACTAGAAAAAAATATTTTAACTAAAGTCCAGAAGAACACACACAAATATCCACATATTTCCTCTCTCAAAGAAGTATTTGCATGTATTTAATATACTATCTATGCCACCAATAATCACATCCCCACTGTTTAAGTGTGCTCCACGTTCTAAGACCCAATTGCTGATTTTCATTCACAAATGCTGATACAGAATAGGCAGTTTCACAGCAGGGTCATAACATAAGTCCTGAAATCCTTCCTCAGTCCTTATTACATGCCTATTTTATGAGCTGTACTCCTGTTTTACTTTCACAGCCTGTTTACCTCTTTTCTAAACTGTAGTGAAAAAGCAGTTAATGGGTTTGTTTCTTGACAGCACTTCTCAGAAAACATATTTTTAAAAGACAGCTCTTGCTGAATAGCAACTGAGAATAGAAGCAAGTTCAATTTGCATTTGGCACTACAAGACAATATGGCATAATTTTCAAATGATTCAAATGATGATGATGAGTGCCACCTCCCTATAAAAAATGAGATTGACATTCTGGTAAATCACAGTGTACTAAATAAGCTTTTTCTTCCATTCATCACGTTATTATTGTTTTCTGCTTAGTTTCTATCTTCCATTACAAACATCTATCATATCGGATATCTCTGAACTAGTATCATTCACTAAGCAATTTCCAATAGCATCTTTCTAATGAGAAGTCAGTGGAGCAGGAATGCAAGTAGTTGAACTGGAATTTTTATTATTCATTATATAAAATAATCCCAGCATCATATTTTCAGTCCTGTACCATGTGTTTTATTACCATGATAAAGATACATGTTTCCTTTCAGGAATTAGTCTTACTCTCAAACACGCTGGCATTTAAAACCAGTGTTTTTGACAGTAGGTCAGATATTGCTCTGAAAAATAATAGCTTTATTTTTATCTTTATAGATATTTATAACTTGCAAAAAATATATATATAATTTACAAAAGAGATTTACCCTCACTGTCATAATCATCTGCAATTTCCTCCTTGATTCATTTGGCATTGGGTCATATTCTTCATTTCTCATGCTCTCTGGCTGCAGAACATAGCCAGTCCGTCCATTAAGCAAAAACAAGGCATGGTTCAACTGCATGTATTTATCTAGGAAGAGAGTTAAGCGGTCACAACAGACAGATCACCATTTGAATAAATCTAAAGAAAGTATCTAAAGACTAATGGCTCCTCTGCACCATTCCTTCTGGTCACCATTTCCTCAGAGCTGGAAAGGTAACCTGGAAGATTCAGTTCCCTTCAATAGCTGATCATGAGAGGCCATTTCTCACCATTCTTAATCCTGATAAATGTATCTCCAGTCATAATTGGTTTCCTAAATACATAATTCTTTGCTCCTAAGAAAACTGTGTAGAGTTTTCCCCGCAGTTGAACCTCACTGTGAATATCTTTGCCTGTTTCCCACAAAGAGATAAAGCTGAAATTTGCCCATTCATTACCTCTAAAAGGTTTGTCTGGCTCACAGACAAATTAGAATGGAAGAAAGAGAGAAGAGAACTGTCTGGAAAAGAAAAAAAAAAAGTAGAGAAAAACCTAAATAGAAGGCAACTATGGGAGAAATACACAAATATAGCTTTAAGTCCTGCACAGAAAGTACGAAGTAGACTAAGGGGAAAAGCTCATAAGCTGCTTCCGCAAAGAGCTAAAGAACAAAAGGAGAATGAAACATGAATTAGGGAAGTTAAAAGTGGAGCCAGAAATTGCTTTGTTTTTTGATTTTCTCTGAATTTTCTTTTCAGTTCTGCTGAAGGAAGTTAAAGATAACCTGCAATAACTGCTCCAGAAAAAAAGAGGCAACTGGAGGCAGAGCTGATGAAAATGGTTTGTTCTTTTCTGCCCAGCAATTGTTTGCTTGACTCCAAACACTACAGCTCTCTAGCATGTCACTGAGAACCTATACAGGTCATAAGGGGAGCACTGAACCAGTGAGACCCCAGCAGAAAGCTAAGGGGAAATTTTGTCACACCAGACAGGTTATAAATTGCCCACTGAAATACATTTTCAGTTGCCATGAGGCTGTCTGGGAAGTCGGGATTTAGCATGAAATGTGCAAGTTTGTAAAGCGCAGTGTGCTGGCCCTAATACTCAGCTTTCATTATTCAGTGCCTCTGCTGAAGACAGCACAGATGCACTTTTAAACTGCAACTTATGTTTGATGACTTCTTCATCTGCCAGCTGCATTAACAACACAGCTACCACTCACATCACTGGCATCAAGGGCAGACACGGCTTTCAGAAAGAGTTTTCTGGGAACCTGCTCTATTAGATGAGCCACACACATTCACAAATCAACTTTTGTTCTTTCACCTTTCCTCTTGCTGTGAAGAGCAAATAAGAGCCACAGGGACTGGAATGGCAGAGGGGCCAGAAAGGGGCTCATTAGCAGTAAAATGAAGCAGAGACCAAATTCCTCTTTGAGGGAATATCACCTGGAGTTTGGAAGTTCAGAGCCACCATCTGGGAGCCACAAAGCCAGAGGCGAAATGGGTCATAGTTAGATGAGTCAACTCTCTGTCCTTTAGGGTAGACACGTGTCAATCCCTTTTGGTTGTATTTCAACAACTCAACAGGTTTTTGCTTAACAATGCTTTCTGCCTTGGTTTCCACAAAAGAACGGATTTCTTTGAAATCAGGATTTTCTACACAAGGTAGGGAGAAAAAAAAAAGGGTTGTTATTAAGCAGAAAAGAAGTCACAATGTATACTATATTTCCACCAATATCTTCTCAATTATTGTATTAAAGCAAAAAATTAAACAAGGTTTTAAAGCAGACATGGCAAACTGGCTGAATATCAAGTCTGAAAATTAAAATCGCCTGCCTGCCACATCCTTTCACCACTCATTGCAGGAAGGCAGATAAATTCTATAGTCATGTTTTCATCTCATCATTGCTAAGCAGCGCTTCTGGCCACTACAACACATTTAAATGAGCCATCTTTTCCTGCATGTAAACGGGGAGAAAAAAGGGTGAGTCAGGGTTAGCCAATGCCTCTAAAAATGACTGCAATGGCAATGTCTCAACCACACTGACAGCTCATTAAAAATGAGTCCACTAACAACTCTACAAATCAACTAACATCTACAGAGATAAGAAAGTAGAATTTAGACGTAATATTAAAGGAGATCACCTAAGTTGTCCTTGGTTTTGCTTGTTGGCTTGCAGTAGATTACCAAATCAGATAGTTCAATAGCAATTAATTGATTCTTTTCCCAGTACTTCCTCCTGTTCTCCTGTAAAATTTAACAAAGTTAAACATTGCAGATACAGTAAGTATAATGGTACATAACACCAGTGTCTACTCTAAGAAAATGAGAAATACTTTCTTTCTTGTCCTGATTCCTATTTGAAACTTTAGATATTTGCATATATGTTATGCATTTCAAAACCCAATTCAGGGAACAGACCAACTAAGGGTTTTATTTGTTGGTTAAGCAACTATTTGAGTGCTTCCTGGAATCTGGTATCTTCTCCTACCCAGGAGCCTGGCAGTAAAATAATTCTGGGGGAAGTAACTCTATGCTATTTTAGTTAAATTCTTGACTCTACACTGTCAAGACTTGCAAGGTGGAGCAGGAAGGAGAATTTAGTTTATTTGCAGTTTTGATCAGGACTTGATCAGTCTTCCTAGTAATTCCCCAAAGACTAAATTCAAATGCTATGAGCTTTTGTGTTTCAGTAGTTCCACATTTGCACACCAGGCCAGCAATATTCGTATGACAGTATGTGTAATCAGTATGTGTAATCATATAGTCATCATCAGTCATAAGCCACCATCTATCTCCATATTTACAAGTACCTGCAATGGAAGCTGAGCAAAAGCCTTTGCTATCAGGGACTGGAAGCCATTGAAATCAGTGACACTTGTATCAAGTGAAGATATTTTGGTAAGAGGCTTTTCAGATGTAAGAAGCGATTGCAGAATAGAACATGTCAGAAGAATCACATACTGAGCTTTGGTGCAACAGCTTATAAAGCAGCAGTAATTAAGCAGCCTTCCAAAAGAATTCCCTCAACAGGATGAACTGAGGAGAAAAAAAAAAGCAGAGCCTGGGGAGCCAAACATTTCCAGAAGCAGTCGCTGAAAAAGAGATACGTTGAAGTATAAGGAAAGCAAAAAGGAATGCAGCATTAAGACTTGAAATAGCCTTGGAAAAAATGCAAGCGTGAATTCCATCACACTGAGTGCTCCACCACCGTTTCCCACGCACTACTCAACAGGAAGCAGTGCTCCCCCTCGCAAAGGCATTTCCAGATGCTATGAGCCCATCTTTAGACATAACTCCAGTGACAGTCAAGGAGAGCCAGCAATGGACAGCTGTCCCTGGGAGCATGGCAAGGTGTTAGCATTACAAAGAGATGACAAGCTCCATAAAGCTTAGATAGTTTTATTTTTAGTATTCAATGGATGCAAACAAAAGTAAACTGATAAAATGCCTGTATCCTACTGTAGTGCTGTATTGATTCACTAGCTTTTGCCCCACCAAAACACAGACTGTTAACTGTATTGGCAAAAAAGGCTTTTCGTTTTCTTTTTCCCTTCCCCATGCAGCGGGCTAGCACATGAACTTTCAAGATACCACACTGAGAGAAAGCCCTGCTGATTGACAGAAATGAATTTTAGAGCATCTTTGAACACAGACTATTTAATGTTCCTCTAACTGCACAGAGGCAGAAAAAGCAGCCAAGCTCCCGAAGAGCCATTGATACGTCATGAAAAACATTCCACTTAGAGACAATTCTTCCAGGTCATGTTTCTCTTTTTCTTATTTTTATTTATAAATGAAAACTTGGCATTAGAACCAGCTCTATCCTTCCCCAATAATAATTCAATAGCTCCTGTTGCTTCTACCCTTGCTGAATTTATAGTTCTCTGCTTGTGACACCAACTTGTTTGCTATAAAAATGATTCTGATGACCTTCAAAGCATTATCACTCCAGATGAAGGATAAACAATGAGACAAGACGGTACTAGAACACATCCTGCATCATTCATATGGCCTGGTTAATAAAAGCAACAAAGGAAAGAGTATACTTAAGTATAGCCATCATACAGTCTTTCTGATCATGACTTTAAATACTAGAAAATACAACTGAGAGGTAAATTAATACGTTAGAGCAAGAGCAGCAGGTCAAATGCAGCTCAGATTTCACTAATGGACATGCAAGAGAGTCTAGGATTAGACTTCAGCAAGAATCAACAGTATAGCAGCTAATGATGATAAAAAAACAAGAATGAGATATATTTTTAGGGATACCTCTTCCGCAGTCTTCCATGTAATTTCACGAATACCTTGGTACCACTCAAATAGTTCTTCTACTTTATCAGTTGCAAATTCAACAGCTGGATCTTCTGGATTCTTGGGTTCCAGAATGAAGACAAAAGGCTTTTGGTGTTTCCCTTGTGGCATTTTTACTGTTTAGACAATACAGTAGTGAGAGGTTTATACTAAAATACAACAGTTCTTCACATGGCAGTAAGTTGCCAGTCTTGCTGATCTACCACAACAACTAATGTAAAAGCTCTAGTCATTGTAACATACTTACTATTATTGTTTCACATATTCCATATATATTTACATATTAATATAAATCAGTTCCACAAGAAGCTTTCCTGCTAAACAGAAAAGAGCACTATTCAACAGACAAGGCTCTGAAGTCCATGTATGAGCATCAGAAAATACATACCAACATTGTACATATTGAGCACCAGTATTCCACGACACAGAGAGCCTAATGGATTGTCCTCAATAATCTGTGAAAAAACAACGGCTTAAATTTGACCCTTTTGCTCTTGAGCGAATATGCACAGGACAATTAACAACTAATAAATACATTCCATCAAATGCAACCACAGTTTCACTGAAGATATGCCCACTGTAATGTTTAAAAGTCTGTTTCAAATTCAAGGATTTCTAATTTTGAGACACAGATCATAGCCTCAATAACGAGAGTCACACCCAGGGGCGCAGTTTCTATCCTCACATAACTGCTCATTTTCGAGCCTGTTTTAAAGCTACAATTATCAGAAAGAACAAAAATATTTCATACATATTTAATACGTGTATTTTCCTCCAAAGACTCCAAGCATGTGTTTGTCCATCCAGTTTTCCCACTTGCAAATATCAAGGCGATAATTATGAAGGCAAGTTAGTTATAAGTTTCAGGTATATTATTGTTTCCCTAAGTTATCTGAAAAATCTAACCTGATATGATTTTCCTCAGCAGGAAACAATTATAACCTCCTAAAAGCCCACCACATCAGTTATCTTCCTAAATAGTTATCTTTGGGGGAAGCCCTACCAAGGAACATACTTGACAGCATAAAGAACAGCTAAGAGCACCTTATTTTTTCTGTTCCGTCTTCTCACAAACATAGCACGTATAGTCACTATTCCATAAACCAGGCTTCCACTTTCAGCAAGCAACATCCTCTAGGGAAATACCAGGCAAACCTTCAATCTTACCTGGCTTTCAAGCTCAGCAGAATTAGCAGATGCCATGTCTTCAACATAATTTGATGGAAAATAATGTTGTACTTTTTCTCCATAATCCCCTTTCCACCTGATTTTAAATCAAGACAGGACAGAGACAGAAGAAACAAAGACCTTCAGTAGGTCATTTATGAGGAAATAATCCTCAACTAATTGGTTATTAATACCCAGTGCTGGCTGGGCTAGTTGGCTATCACCAATTTGAAAGTGATGAAGTAGCTAAAAGCACTAACAAAGTGATCATTAACAGGTCATTTCAGAGGGATTACAGCTATGGTAAACTGGAATTAATGATGTAAGAGGCTTTTATCCCCTCCAGTACTAGAAATACTATCATGTGGTTGATAGTCCTGCAGAAACTATAGGGAAATATTGGATTTTTAAGCTTTCTGAGCAACTTGCAAACTAGCTATGACAGACAGACACTTATGAAAGCAGAATATACAGATACTAAAACAAAACAAACCAACTTAGAAGAAAAAAGACATAAAGATGTGGTTTATGTGCCCTTAGAAGTATTAGGCAGAGCAAGGAAGGAAACGGAGTAACAGTGACAACTATAATAGATGCCTGACTACCCAGAAGACACAAGTGTTTAATAAGGACAAATGGAGTGAAGGACAAATGCTGGATACATTGGGATACGAAGGCTCTACCAGGCTGAGGCTGTAGACAATGGAGAAGACATGAAAGGAGACTTGAGGTTGGTTTTGTTTGCTTGTTTTTAACATGCTGGCATTAAGATTTGTAAGCCTACAGCTTGCAAGTAGCAACCACACAACAGACAGTTTAAAAACTACTACCCAAAGCTGATTTTTTTTTCCTCCCTAGTAACTCAGCAGAAGTTCTCCTATGAGGAATCCTTATCCTTACCAGCCTCCAGTTTCCTTGGTGACATTATGAATTAGAGCCCCTCGGCAGAAGCTCAGTTCATCACTTCTTTTGGCTCTGTAGTCATATAAGGCTTTCACTGTTCTCTGAGGCTTTAAGAGAAACAAAGAGAAGGGGTCAGGATAGGTGGACAGATCAGAACATGATCAATAATACGATCTTTAAAAGAGAGGGGGCGAGATTAGATCCCTTTTTTTCTTATGAAATTTAAAAACCTTAAGACTAAAGTTCCAGAGTGACATCTATTGGCAGAACAAAAGTGATGCTACTCAGCAGCTATTTTTTAAAATATCAGCTAGGAAAAAAACATATTTCCTTTATGGGTGCTGCAATATTACAGTAAAACAAAAGCAGTGAGCATTCAATCCTCTATCTTTGTTACGTGTACTCAAACACATAGTTGGAGCTTGCAGGCATAGTTGGAGCTTGCAGGCAGTTTAAGAACCTCTGCTTCAAAACTGCATCACCTATCCAACTGGTATACTTACCTTTGGGAAAAACTCCAGTTCTAATAAGAAAAGAAATTTCTTTATCTTGCATTCACTGCCAGTTAAATTGTGCCAGTAGCACCACAAATTCATTAGTCAAAAAAAACCCTAAGAATTACAGCCACACAATTTGCAAGCAAGTGAGCTTTTTTGAGAAATTAGATCAAACAGGCCCTAATAATAACTAGAGATATGTAGATGTTTGCCCATACCACTCCTTTTTAAAACATTATATATTAACCAAAAACACCACTTTTCTACAGAAAACACGGTGAAAATCTGCACCTCTTTATGCAAACAAACTGCTTCTGCTAGCAGAATTCTTAAAACTTTGTGCACAAAGAGCACTGCTCATTGAAGAAACACTCAGGGTTTATGTGTTTTGTTCTATTTACAGTCTAAAGATTTGGCCTCCTCAGATTGAGTTCTCCTTAGCTAATTAATTTCTGGTCATATCTGCATAAGCAAATGACCTCCACAGACCAATAGCAAAATGCCCGATTCCTCAGAATAGGGAGAATTGCTACAGGATTTGCAAAAAGAAAATGTGTGTGTGTAAATTTCAAAGAGACACTGGGAAAAAAAGTCACACTCTTTATAGTTCTGCTGCCCAGCCCTCTATAAATCAAGCAGACTAACACTTTCAATTATCCTTCCATTACTGCTAGCAGGAAATCGACAAACAATTATTATCTTTTCAAAAGTATACGAGAAAGCATGAAGAATATCTTTCCTTAAACATACCACTGCAGGGGTGATTTCACTGGGCTCCACGTACATCTTGACATCATAGAGAGAATTAATATCTTTTTCCTAAAAAAACAAAATAAAAGTTATGGGAATTCAAAATTACAACAATACTCATTGCTAACATAACAAGAAATCTATGTAGAAACTTCCTTTTTAACTATACTTGGGCAAACAGAAGAGAAGGGAAGCCAGACACCTATGCTTTGACTTATCATTTAATCTGTCTATGCTTTGATTTAATCAATATTCCTGTCCTATAGATAAGAAAACTCAGACTGAGGTGAACCACCTAAGCTGCCTGAAAGGTCATTTATTACCACCAGAACTGATCTCACGCCTTCCAAGTCTAAACGTGGGACTTTGCCCTCTTCAACAACTACCACTTGTACAAAGACCATCACTGACCACGCTGTAGCGCTCCAGCAGCTCCTCCGTCACCGGGTAGCGCAATTTCATTTTCCTGTACAGCGGATGCTTCTCGTAGTACGTCACCAGCTCCACCAAACTTTCAAAATAGGCCGAGGTTCCCAGCACAAAGTGGCGGCCTTCCTGCTGAATTCGGAAGTGCTTCACTTTCCCCTCAGCTCTGTAAAGCAAGTTCAGGGCGGTAAAAGTGTTTTTATTCATGCCAGGGAAATCTCCACTGCTGCAAACCAGGCCATAACTGCTTTGTGCATTTTTAATATGCAACATAATTCTCGTTGTCCCCAAAGTTAATTAAATTCACAAATATTCATAGAACTTTCCTGCTCTTCTCCCCACTACACAGAAGTTTCCTGTCACTTCCATACTGAAAAAAAATGGTTTTGGTTAGACTAAAGATTCTTCTGAAACTTGCTGTTGCTCAGCTACTGTTGTTCCTAAACAATAAGACACATGTAAGCAAACATCTACTCCCTGCAGAATTAGTTCCGTTGACTCTAACCTTCACAAGCAGGATTTTCATGACTCTGGAAAGACCACGGTACTTTTTAAATGAGAAAAACAAAACACTGTGAACCTTGTAGGTAATTACAGTCACATCCATCTTTTCCTACCTGAAAGTCATGGCAAATGAATCTGGTTCATCCCTTTTTCTAATCAGAAAAGCACCGTCTCGAGGAATTCGCATCAACATGTCTTCTGCCTCTCCCCGACTCAGGTTACTATAATACCAACTACAAAAGTTAAAATCAAAATGGACAAATGATTACAAAGCTGCTCAAATGTCATTCACTAAGAAGAAGCAGTGTTCTTAGTGTTAGAGACTCAAATATTACAAGAAAAAGTTATGCATGGTATCTTCCCCAGCCTGCCATCTGTGATAGTAGTTATTACAAAACACTAACATGGTAGCTTCTTTGAGATGAAACCATCCAGCAGGCATCATAATATCTGGTTTCTTTAAAAGAATAAAACATAAATCAGCATTTCTACTGAAACAAAGTCACTGGATCCATGGAAATATAACTCAGCTTGAACTTATTGCCCCTGTAGTAGAGTTTCCAGATACCGTACCATGGCCACGTGGTTGCCACAGTCATCTACTAAATCCAACCTGCTAGGCATCATAAACCACTAAGCAGGGAAGTAAGGAGTTAGGACACTTTCAAAGCATTACAGTTCTCACCAATTTTTCCAGTTGATGACAATATATTACTTTCCTCAGGGCTGCTCCCTGCTTTCCCAGGTGTTCACAAAGTCAAGGCTCTTGCTCAGAGAGAGAGCAAGATTATTGAGAGAGCAAGCTATTATTTCTACAATAGCTGCGAGCAAATAAAACCTCAGGCGTGCTCCAGAACCCAGAGGGACTTTACAGGCAAAAAACTCAAGACTTTCTAAAACACCACAAAAGAACTCAACCTCGACAACCCTGCTGCTTGCCTTCTGCAGTACGTACTCTTTAGTCTCATGAGGGCTGGGATTGGGCACAGCATCGGTCAGGCGCAGTTCAAACTCAGCGCATCGCAAGTGGGCCTCCTTGTAGTGTTGAATGAGATCATAGATGCTATCAAAAGTGAGGTTGTCCGTCAGGTAGTATTTCACATTGTCTCCATCACCTGAAGAGCGAATGCGGCAGTGCTGGACTCTTCCTGACCTCCTAAAGAAATGAAAAAGGAATAAGGAAAAGAATGGTGACATAAGAATTTCTCCTCTGGAGGACCATATCTTATAAAGAAAAAAAGTCACCCAAAAATTATTCTTTTCTTTCCGTAAGTATTCTTTTCACTGAAAAGATCAATCTCTGACAATAAACTCCCAGGAGAACCCGTTCAGTATGGATACCAGCAATTTATCTCAAAATAAAAGACCAGATTTTAACCCATTTAGCACTATGCTATGCTGAAGTTTAATTTAGAAAATGGTCTTTCACAATCCCACTAATAACATTCTAGTAAAGATAACTCCTTATTACTATTTGCACTTAGCTGTAAATGTATGACAAAAATGAGTTACTATTGCAAAATGAAGTAAAATAAAAAATGCCCATGTAAAATTTTTAGGACAATCACCATACCAGAAGGACAAGGTGCAATCATTAGGAAAAGCTTCACTTTCTCTAACCAGGAATGTTCCATCCTGGCCACCTGTTTCAGCACAATATTCCTGGAGCAGCCTTTCAGCAGTTGTTCTCCCCTCTTTCATTTTCCCGTGGAACCACTTCTCTCTTAAGTGCAGTTCAGTACGTTTTACCTCCTAGACCAGAAGAGAAGAACATCTATAGTCCACTTTTAACGTTATAATTTTGATACAAAAGCTTACTGATATAATTATCTCCCATATCAAGATTTTATCTTATATTTTGCTCTAAGCCCCACTGCCGCCACCCCAAGAAGCACCTGAACTTCCTTACACATTAATTATTCCACTAACATTTAGGTGAAGGAGTATGTGGTTGTATTGGTATGTATGCACGTGCAGAGAGCAAATCTCTGAACCATATACATATATATTGGCAATGAGAAAGCACTCAAGCTCTCAAGATGAAACCATGCTGAATATCACTGCTATCGCAGCCCTTACTGAGCCTCACATTTCTGGCTTTAACATAAGCAAGAGGCAGATAATATGTATTCACCTGTAACAAGCACTTTGATAACATGAAATGAACGGCATGTATTGTCATTCTATATTATTATATATCAAACCTAACTTCATCATATTGTGTAGTTAGAGAATAGCAATAACAATTAGTCAAAGGCATATAATTCATAACAAAGATTTTGTCAGTGCACACATCAGCTTAATTTCGGTAGTTAAATGCTAGTATTTCATTGCTCTTGTACTTCTCTTTATAAGCCTTACGTTAGTCAAGGGACAGAGACATTTCATTAAAAATAGGTTCATGAGAATGCATTGGTAACGGCCCTTTTTAATTATTATTTGCAGATACTCTTATTATCTGACAGATTTCTATAATTTCAATAACACCAGCACCTGTAAACCGTGAGAGAATCTGAAAGGAAGAATTTGCTCTTTAAAAAGCTTCTTTAAAAGCTCACCTTCTTCATTTCATATTAAAGAGAAATAGGTAGCTATTCTCTTAATGCAGGCATCCCATCCGCACCCAAGCGGCAGATAAGGGAACATGAAACTATTAGATTAATTCGAACACTTTAGTTGCATACAAATAGGAAATACAATTAACCCAGAGCACCAGACTACAGCCTGAGTAAAGGTGTATCATTTTCTTCAAACTTGTTTCATGGAAGCGGAAAAAAACTTCTGTTCAGAAATCCATAATAAAATAAACCTGTGTCTGGCTTCAGGCAGGAGAAAAACTCATTATAAAGCTTTCAAAACTAGTCACTTTAGCCTAGTTTTAGTTTCTTTACCCTAACAACTGCAAAGAAATCCAAGCATAACCATCCCTGGAACTGGGGGAAGGAATACATTTACACAACAAAAACAGAGCCATCACCTTTGATGCGTCTTCATCTGCATTCTGCTCAATGTCATCACTGAAGGAAAGCTTTTCATCTGCAATAGCACAGTAGTGCCGAGTCCATTTCTAAAAGTCAAAGCAAATATTAAAACCATTACCAAGACAAACAGCCAAGCCCCCAGTCACAACTTCCAACAAGGTCTAACAATAAACAAAGTGCCTTCTTGCCTTCACTCACACCACTCTGAGTGAGAATGTTACTTAGAAAAAATATTTACAGCATTTGTGTATACCTCCTATATTACAGATCCTAATAACAAACATAAATTCTACCTGTTCTATTGTGTCCCACATGTAAAGTTCTCCTTGTTGCTTTTTTTCTTCTTTCTTGTCTTCCAGGTTCACATCAATGTCTCCTTTTGGCCCCAGTTTTTTATGCTTAGAAAAAAAAAAAGTATATAAAATTGGTCATTCTATCTATAGAATAGTATAGCTCCATATTAGCAGTAATTTACCTGCATTGCCCAGTCTTCTCCTATAAAAAAGGTTCTAATATAAAAAAATAGCATTTCCATATGCTTTATACAGGAAGGGTCAAATATTTTGGCTAAAAATTTAAATTTCATACTACAGGTTGAAAACTCTGTAGAGGTGTCATTCAAGCAATGAGGAAACAACATTTTAGATAAGAGCTCACCATTCCTCTGAGGAAAGAAACATGCTTGCCTAACATAAAAATGAGACTAAAAAGGAATCACTCTGAAGACAACAGGACATTGTTGCTACATGTGCAGAGTACGTGAGTAAAGCATCTATATTGCATCTGTAAGAAACCCTTACAGAGGCTGCTTTCTATCAATGAGACCTCAGTTTTCAGACACAACTGTATAAATTACATATATAAAAAAACCACTTTTGTGTTTGAGTTATGAAATACTCATCTATTTTTGCAATTTTCAAAGTAAACAATTCTGACAACTTAAGTCTGCAGCCTGCATAGAGCTTCAGATTTCACTAGAATGAGAGGCATTCTTTGAAAGACCTGTTAATATCATTAATCTAAATTTTTATCTGAGAGCATACTTTTATCTGCACAAGAGGTCTCTGATGAGCATCTGTGCTACTGAAATCTGCTGAAATTTAGCAGTAACATTTCAGAAGATGGAATATCTTAGAAAAGGGCTGACATTTCATCTGATACTTGAACTAACAACATTAATTGCAAATAAGACCAACAACAAGCAACTCAATATGCATTTTAACAGAATCCCATGATATGTTGGCCAATTTCAGTAATCAATGCTTCTAGCATATGGGTTTTTATCCCCAGCAGAAAGCAGCAGCTATGTTGTGTAGCCAGAAACAACACTCTTGGCTCCGGCTCTTGCTTTTCTATTTTATCTACAAGGTCACAATGCAAGTCTGAAAAACCTACCTTGATGATGATTTTTTCTTTCAGCTGGGTTGGTGATGGCAGCTGATCTGCACTCGCTTCAATGGGTTTTGTTAAAAGCTGATCCCCAAATACCTCCTTGAATACTTTGGCCATGTGTCGCTGCTGTTCCACACTACAGTGCTCTTCAATCGACAGAATGACTGGGTATCTTGGATGAAGCAAACACAGGTAAAAGCACAGATTAAGCTTCTGACATCTAGAAAATGTTTCTATATCCCTCCTGGGTGCACGCAGGGAAAGCATCCCAGTACATTCATCATACAATCGGATACTGTCCCACATGAGTAAGGAACACTTCTCTACATCCATCCGAAAACAGGAGAAGTGGGGAGCAGGGGAAAGAGGAGTCTGACAGCCTCATGTCTTTCCCAATTGATGGGTAATACTTTTCATGTTAAGGAGCTCTCAGCAATGGCCTAGAAGACCAGAGTAGCAACAGTTTTAAATCCATAAAACCAGCTCAGGAGGCATGCTATGAATACTACCTCTTATCAGCTAAGGCTTCCCTTACAATGTGAGCACCACCTCATAGATATTTTGCTTATCATCTATAGAGTTTGGGATTTTTTTTTTTTTTTAAGACATACTATTCGGAATGTGAAGTTGCATGTTTCAGCTTAACAGATGAATCCAGAAATGGAAACAGGAATGCCTATAGGGCACCTCAGTAGTAAATTGTTATGTAATGGGACTCTTTCTCAAAATCAAATCTATTTGAGTCATATCAGGGCATTAACGAAAGAGGCTAGGATATCATTCTCCCCACCACAATTTATTTTTCTCCCTGACAAGAATGGAGCTAACCATTCAAAATCAAGCTCAAGAAAACATCAGAACTTACTCAGATGCAACGAAGGCATGGTCTTTGATTGCCTGTACCACATCATCAAATTTGATCTTTGTTGTCCGTGTCCACCCATGGTAAATGATTGGTTTCCCATCTGGACCATCCCAGCAATCCACTAGGAAAGACAAGCAGAAGAAAAAGGAAAAGACCAAGCAGCTACTTAAACTACACCAGTAAAAAGAATACAATGTGCACCTAACTCTTCAGAGTATTTCATACAGTGAGTCATAGACTTTTATGTTTTGCTAAAATATTCTATTAGGTGGCTTTATATCTCTCACAGAGGAGATTAAATTCACTTAAGTAAGAGCAATACAAATAAAACACAATATAAAATTTCCCCCAAGTATTTTCATTAGGTAATCTTGACATTCAGGCAGCTAAACCATAGTTCATTAGTTTACATTAATGGTCCAATGGTAAATAAACTCCCACAAGTGATATTGTTGGCAGTTTATCTGTTTCGTTGATTGTTATGCTAAAACTCTAATTTGAGATACATTTTGCATTAACCAAACTGAACAGGGTCCTTGTTAATTATGACAAAAGATGATTAGCCTGTAGCAAGTAGCTTAACAAAGTAACTGCTGAATTAACACGAAAATCAAGTCAAATCTGGTAACTTTGAAACAAAATATATACGCACAGTGATGAAGAAGTTTGCACAATTAGTGAAGAACAGAGGGACAAATCCAGGAACTGATTTACAAGTGAGTTAAATGGGATGACAAATAGCACAAGATAATAAGAAACTCAAAAACTGAGCCCTGTCTGTATCGAGAATGATAGCAATTAAGTTGTGCCTTACACTTCTTTCTATATCTACTGTACACACAATCCAGGTTTGAATCTTATAGTCCCATATACTAAACCAGTGATTGAATTACTGGTATATGAAGATCAGTTTTAGAAAGATCTAGAAATTCCAAGGAAATGGGATTTGTTTGTTTTCCTTTTTCTTTCAAACTTAAACATGGGAAATTGCCTATCTGGGGAGTATGTTACCAATCATTCCACGAGTTCATTACTCACACTCAATACATCGACATCCCATTCTCAGGCACCTGATATAAGCTTCTGTAGAGGATTCACTTCGAAGCTGGTCTCCTGTCAGATATCTAGGGGGGAAAGGACATTGCTACATTTTAAGAGAAGACAAGCAGTCAATTTAAACAATTTCCCACTTACTCAGTGGGGCTCATTTTTCCTCTTATTAGGAAGCACTGGGTTTTGTTTGCTCGTTTGTTTTTTAATTGAACTTGCTATGAAATGGACCGGAAAGCAGACTTTACTGATCAGACATTACCACATTTTAGAACTGACCAGTCTGTAGAACTTTAAAGGCTGAGGCTAGTGGATTTCTGCACAGTATATTACAAGCTCTGAAATACACCTAAGGTTCATCTTACTGACGGGAAATTATGCCTTTGAACACAGACAGATAATGCGACTTTTGGCAACTTACGTGTTATGAGAGGAAGAAATCCAGTAGTGGGACAAAGGATTATTCATATCCTGCACATCTATTGATTCATATTTCTCATCCCAAATACTGTTCTCTTTTGCAAACAGGTAAGTGAGAAACTAAAATACAAAGAGAAACCAATTCTAAATGCTTCTGAGCATACAAGGCCAAAAGATATCCAACAACATAGTAAGAGCAGCCTAAAGAATGTCATCCAATTCACAAACTAGGAACTAGCAATTAAAGAAAAATGCCCATGATGAACTATTAGAATGTATCACTATCTCACCTCATCAACAAAGAGGAAGGGTTCAGCAGTTTCTCTCATAGTGTCATCAATAAACTTGGTCATACGTTCTCGGACTTTACTGACATCTTGCGCCCAGGACTCCTAAAAATAACAAAGAAGCAAAAAGCTTTAGAAGTTGTGACATGCTATATAAAATTAAATGGAGAAGAGAGACCTACAGACGTGATTCATTAAAACTCACTCATCCGACTATTTAACTGCCAGTATGTTTTACAGCACCCACACATTTTAGTTTCCTATGTGACATTTAAGAGGAGGAAAAGAAGTTCTTCATACAAGTGCCTCCGTGTAGGCTGGAGGCCCACAAAATACACACCTGATCTAGAAATATGTGCATACACACAGTAAAAGCTGCCCTCTGAAGGATATGGCTTAACTACAGCCTCTCCTGTCGTCTGAGTGCAACCTGAAAAATCATTTTAGCCCAGTAGAATAGGGAGAGAAAGAAAGTATCAAGTTCATACAGAAAATGTTGATCTACGTTTCTGATAATTATTTGCAAACCTGGAGTTCAGCAGCACCTAGCCAATATCATAAACCTAAAACGGAAAGTAAAGAATTGGAATGCAGATAAAATCAACGAGCCATCTCAGAACCATTCCACCATATTCTATTGTGAATATTCACCATATACTATTGTGAATGTCTGTCCATAGAGGTTGGCCTATATATCAAATTCTGTGTTTTTTTTTTCCCATGTCTGTGCTAAATAGGATTATATACAACATTGAAAACAGCTGCAAACCCTAGCCCACTTGTTATCTGCTTGCCGATATGGGGTACTGGACTGTCCTCATTAAAGGAAAAAAAAAAATCCCCTTGACTTAAATAGTAGCAGTCAGCTCTTTTATATATTTTTATATATATATATAATAAATATAAATATAAATATAATATAAATATATATTATATATATATAAAAGAGCTGCTAAAACAGTGACAGGGCCAAGATGTAAACCCAGATGTATCTGCGGTGACAGCTGTAACTAGGCCAAGATTATTATCTCTGACAAGTATGCAGCGTTTATTTTCAATTTGTTTGTTTATCTACATGACTAAATAGAGACCTGTTAAAACGTTACTTACCATGTCCTCCTGTCTTTCTAACGCACCTTCAGAGTCTTGAAATGAATGAAAAATAATTCCTGTGACCTTTAATATCAGTGACTACGAAAAAGAATCTTTCCAAGACCTACTGCTGCAGTTGACATCAGTCATACTCTGTGACACATTACATTTCCTTTACGTAGATAATGCTGTGAGACAACCTCAAGAGCTCAAAATTCCTATAACCTTCTCACCTGCTGCTCATGTAGCAGGAATCTCTGAAAGTCATGGAGATGAACTGCAGAAGCATCTGGACGGTCAGTGTTTCTTTAAAAAAATAAAGAAGAAAATGGGAAAAAAAGAAAGAAAATGAAGCTAACGAAATAACAGAGCATGTGTCACCAAATGTTATACCAGGAAGTGACAGGGTTTGTATTTTGGATTTACAGTATAATCCTGCTAAAGCCTTTTATAACTTCAATGGAATTTAGATTAAAGTTGTAATATTGAATGATGTATTCACTGTATTTTGAGCCTTTAGATAAGGTCTCCTGGATCACAGATCTACTCTTAATAGTGCTTGGGAAAACTACCGACTCTCTGTTTCGTGCTTTGTTAAAAAGAGCAGCATTCACTTTGCAAGGGTATTGTTTACTTTAGCTAAGGCATATGGATGCACTGTTATGTTGCATTATGGCAGTGCCACCTTTCCACAAGTAACTCCTTTCATGTTTTATTCAGATGATCAACAGTGATAAATCAAAACCTGAAAAAGGAGAACAGATACAGCCAAGGTGACAGAAAGGAGCACATCTGCTTTCTAATTTGTAGGACAAAAATGCTGCATCATCTGGTACTAACAAGATATTTATAACTCACCTATCTTTGGTAAATCTATGGGTTTAAGCTCATCAAGTTAATATTCACATGAAATGATCAAAGACTAAAGAAACAACATTGTGCACTCAAAGCAAATTTTTAAGCAATTCCCTAAATCTGTTGGTATAACATTAAAGTTCAATTCATGGTCAAAATATTACCATTGAGCTCTTTTTTCATGCTGCATACATCTTACTTAATTCCAAAATCCTCCAGGTAAAAAATGCAGAGACTGTTTGGGTCAGCACTGTGCTTGTATCCCATCAAAGGCACTGCATCACATCACTCTCCAGAGAGAAGATAAAATTTCTTCATCAAATTCTGCCCTCTAATAGTTCTATTCAGCTCTTAGTAGAATCAAAAGGCAGGCAAATTTGCCTGTTTATATCCACACCAGTCATGTTATTAGGAAGTAAAAACAACGTTTATCAAATTATATCCAAGGCTTGTTTCTATGCTAAACTCACTTTTCTGAATGCAGCAAGATGCATCTTTTTTTTCCCCCACTTATTAAAGCTTCAGTACAAAAAGCAATGATGTAATTTGGGGAAAAAATATAGGGATATGGAAGCAGACAAAATTATGGAGCAACCATAATCACATGTGAAAAAACTAATACAAATGAAGAGTCTCACCCAAGAATGAACACGGAGGAATCCTTTTTGAATTCATCAAGAATCTTAAAACAAAAGAAAAACAACAAAAAGGAGAGTGAATAAATAATAAAAGAACACGCAATTCTCCGTGTAATAACCACCATTGGTTTGGATAGGGAATCAAATATGAATTTCTACTTTTTAGAAGCTATATAAAAGTTGGCAGCATAAATTTTGAGTTAAATGGATAAGAAGAAACATACTGTATAGACTGGCAATTGCACTTCAGGACTTTCAATGCGAAAACACACAATTTGTGCAGCTTTGTACTACCAACATATGAGAAGCAACGTCCTAAATCAATTACTGATGGTCATTGTTACCTATATATCAAGTACAGTAACATGAGAAAAGCCCTTTTTATGTTACAATAGGAAAAATAAATACAAGGAAAAAGAAAATCAGTATTTACTCTTTATTTTAACCAAGCAGTTAAAAAGTATGATGACTCTTTATGAAAAAGCTTACCGATTTCTGTTGTTCAAACATGATTTTCTTGTAGAACAAATGAAATTGTTCAAAACTAAGTTCTTCCTTGTGAGCACCTATTTCCTGTGAAAGAAAGTAGCATCCAGTGATTAGAATTCCCTGTATTGCGTCAGCAAACAAGTTTCTCCTATTCCAAGTGCAACCCTCTTGCACATTCTGCTTTACCATATTTTTTAAGAACAGAAACAGATTCTTAGCTTGTAACATATCACTCCTAAGCCACTTCTCTGGTCCTGTGTTTTACATTTTGCCTCAATTTCCACTAAAGTCACTGAAAGTAATGCAATATCTCAGTCATTGTTAGCTGGGGGAACAAAAGCAAGAGCGTATGTTTTAAGGGTGGAGAGCTGCAAGTAGGAAAGAAGGAAAAGGTGGAGATCTTTACAATTCCTGCAGGAATGAAAGAGACCTTTGGAATATTACCATGAGTGAGAGGGGAAAGTGATTCGTTTGATTATGTTGCAAAGTAGTTTTTATTTTTATTTAATAATTCTTAATCTTGAACATCTTCCTGTGCGTCTGCACAGTTAGGAACAGCACAATCCAAACTCCGTTTTGGTTTTAGGGAACATTATAATGAGAAGTAAGAACATTTAATTCTGTATTTTCTTAAGGTCACATTTACACACAAAACCAAATTTGTAAACTAAAGTGATGTAGTTTATGTACATTTAGCTACACTGAAACAAAAATTCAGGCAATATGCTGAACATAAACAACAACACCTATGAGATAATATCAAAGAGATGTAAGTTAACATGTAATTACCGCAAATTTATCCTTCAAGAACTTCATGCTGCTCACTTTGAAATTTACTTGAGGAAGGATGGTTTTCAGCTCTCTAAGACTGATACTGAAAAACAAGAGCAAAAAAAAAAAAAAACCCAACAGTTGCATCCAGTCAGCTACTAGTATATTTTTTATCAACATGAAAAAGCAATTATTGAAACATTTTTGGTACTATTCATCTCACATTTCTCCATTAACTGTTAATCAGATCTAGATAATCAACTGAAATGTAAATGCTTAAATGCAGTGAGATGAATTACGGCCTTTCTTCCACTGCTTCAATCCCAGTGCAGAGAAAACATTATACAAACAATATACAAAGCAGATGAGATGAAACAGAAAATGTTCAAGTTTTCTCGGCCTTTATAACCTTTGCCTCCAGGTTGCTCACCTGCTTACATACAGTAAGTTTTTAGGCAATTCTTAGGCAAAAAGCTAAATGTTTTAATTACTGCAACACCTAGCCACACTGTACAAAGTCTGCTTGTGTATGCTGACTTCTTTTGTTGGTGCCAGGGCTTATATTAGAAACAAACAGAGTTCATTTCATAACTGTGAATATAGCTCATTTTGCAAAATGCAATTTCCTTCACATCTTCCTGTTCTCTCACCAACCTCAGATGCTATTTCCAGGCTCCTAGATGCTACTTTTATAGCCTTCTTCACTGCAACTTCAGAGTTCAATTTTTAGTCACAATTCTTAGTGCACTTATGCTCGAAATATGAACATGCAGTAGAGGAGTGCTATCATAACTCTCTTTGAATAGGGACAGGGTTTATTTCTAAAGGAGCTAGGTGCCTTAATACTTCAAATAAGTTATTGCTTTGATCATAACACTACAGCTGAGCCGATCTAATAGCTAAATGGTGCTACAAAAAGCAAAACCACTTCCCACACTCCACGTGCCCCACTCCTCCCACCAGTTTCCATGTGCCAGCTCTGATGCTCAGTCAGATCCTTTACTAAACTGATTCAATCTGCTAATCTGGCAGAAAATTACCTGGGGAAAAAGAAAAAAAAAAAGAGAAAAAGGAATTTTCCACTGGCTTTATGAACCAAATTGGCCCAACTTGCATCCAGATCGGCATCAGAGTTAGAATAAGGGAAGTGGCAAGAATTCCTGATTAAGAGAAAGTAAAAATAGCGGATGAAAAAGGAAAGAGCTAGACCATGACTACTCAGCAGCTGGTACAGCAACTCAGTCATCTGCAATAGCTCTGCTTCAGTGGCCTGCTATACCAGCTGTCACTGGCATAGGAAGCATGCAGCAAGGTCTCATGTTCTGGACAGAGATTCCCAGACTCTGGGCATCTTCTGCTCCGAGCTCGCATTGAGCAAAACACAGCTGGAAGGTGGGACATGTAGAAGACATGAAGAGAGTAAAAATAGACGGCAGAAAAGAGAAACATGGAAAATAAAAAGGAACAGAAGCATGGCATTATCAGCTGCTTCTGTCAATGCCCACAAAACATTTAAACAATACCAAAGGGCCCAAGAAAACCAGGATGTTCCCTGATCTACAGTGAATCAATAAGCCATTAACTCTGAGCAAACACATTACTAGAACAAGTTACTTAGGGGGAAAAAAAAGTGCAGTAATTAGTGACTAAACCAAAACCATGCTTTTATTCTACAAGCCAGCCATGCAAGCAACTGCCCTGTGAGATATTCTCAACCCCATTGTGTAGAGGGGGAAAGAGGCAAAGCAAGAAGTACCTTAGCCAAAATCCATGCCAGAGCCAGATTAGAACTCAGGAAATTCCTGGCTTTCCTCCCTGTCGCCAGACCTCTGGAAAAACACTTATTTCAGGAGCAAAAGCGAACACTTCATTTGTGCACTAAACATTGAGTACAAGCAATTTCCTCTAGTCAGACAGGCACAAGCTAAAACAAAAAGCTGGGACATCGTTGCCACTGGCAAAAACTCAACCAGTTCAACACCAGCCTGGAAGCCTAACCTTTGCAATTAACCTTCCTAGAAACTGCAACACTAAACACAATGAAACTTGGTTCCAACTCCTTTCCGGAAATTTTCTAAAGGTGTGAATCATCTAGCAAGAAAACGAAAAACCCTTGATCCTGAGCAGAAAGCCTTGTAGTGACAGAACAACCTGAAGCATTAAATAAAACCTCCCCAGCAGACATATACTGTTGGATGCAGCTCCTTCACTCTAACATTTTTTTTTGCTTCATGATGTAGGGCACTACATCCATTGCAGGAGTAGCTTTTTCAAAACCCTCAGGAGGTGTGAGAGGGAGAGGGCATTTTGTCCTTCCCCATTCTGGCTGGCTTTGAAAAATGCTGTTCCTGAAGTTGTCTCCCTTGGCACTAAGGCAGCTGCATGACACCACAGCTTGCTTACAGAATGGGGTTATTTCCTGCCTAACAGGGTCTCATCCACACAATGAAACACCACACTTTATTTTGCTTTTAGGAAAAGGCTTAAATAAGAAGAAATACAAGTTCTTCTATCCACTGATGTACACCTTGGAAAAACAGAATGCTACAGAAAGAGGCCAAAGTCATAGTAAGGTTATATATATATATATATATATATATATATATATGTACGGTAGAGGAGGAGTTAACATTCTTCTCAGTGTTCCACAACTTCTGGCAACTCTAATGAGAAGTGTGCCACTGAATTCATTAAAAAAGTCTCCTGTGCTGTTCAAAAGCTACAAAAGCTTGTAGCACCTCGATGCCACATCAGGCTTCGAGCCTGGCTCGTAGCCCCAGCAGGCTTAGAGGTGGGAAAGCCACCCAATCTAACACTCTACCGTGCACCTTTAGCAGCTCAGTCCTGCGTTCACGGCTTGACTGTGCACAAACAAGCTTTTAAAAGCTGGCTTGGACTTATCTCGTCTAGACTGCAGTTGTTCAAGTGCCAATGTGCCTTAGCGATGAAGGAAGACGTCATGGCATAGCTGCACAGGAAAACTAACCGCAAATAACTCTCCACACTGCTGGGCTCTCACTTGAGAGAGAAAGGGCAGAGAGGTCTGTAAAGCAAGCAACCCAGCAGAGCCACACGGCAGAGCTGAAGCACTGGGGTGACAGCACCATGAGACAATTGCTTTTCCATATACAGGCAGGGTGATTTTAGAATAGAAAGCAAAATAGTTTATTTTTCATCATTTCTTACTTCACTATATCACATAAGAACATGAGTAAGCATTATGAACCTAGTGTGTTGGTTAAAAGGTGGCAATAATTCATCAAAGCAGTAGCAAATACAATTTTCAGAGGGCTCTCATCTCTCTCTTCTTAGTCAAATTATTCTTTTCCTTTCATTCTCCACTATGTTCTGCAAGTAAAAGCTCACTAAAAACAAACTGAACATGAAGAGGGAGAGCTTCTTACCTATTTCTTCTAGTTTGATCAACAGAATAGATCTGCTTTCTCAGCCAGCTTGGGAAAAAAAAGGGGGGGGGGGAAATCTGAGAATTAGAAAGAAACAAAGGAAAATCAAAATACAGAGATTGAATTCAACAAAAATATTTAAATACTAGAAAATATGTCTTTTAATAAAGCAAAAATATTCATAGTTGCAACATCAAAGTATTCAGTCCTTTCTAACACTACTTAGGAATAAATATTTTTCTGCTGCGTACTACTGCGTTTTCAAGCCATGTAACACAGGAAACAGAAAAGAATGAACACCTAAAATCTGTAAAAAATCTAAAGTGGATATGGATAGAATGGGCCAAAACTTCAGCTAATGTAAACTAGAACCATCAAGTCAATTATTTATGTCAGTTGAGGTTGTTGGCTCAGAGGTCTTTCAGACCTCTGGGGAAAGTTTGGAGGTTGGGGAGGAAGAGAGAATTTTTAGAAAAACCGGATTTCTTAGCAAGAGATTTCCTCACAGCGGGTAACAGTAGTGACTTACCACAGGAAAAAGTGTCAGCATTGCTAATCAATACTCGAGTATATAGATTGTATTAAAAGCTTTTTGCAATAGATTGAGTGTGAGTAGTTTGGAGTGCAATATCCTCAGAAGCACTAAGGTTGCTGCTTCACCATCATATGCTGACTGCTGAAAACTAAGCCTCCAAAATGCTTATTTTCAGCCTAGCTCTTGCAGTCAACTGACCTCGCTGCCATGTGATACAACAGTGGCAATAAAAAGGAGAAAGGAGTTTTTCCACATACAATTCCAAAGAAACATCAGGTGCTACGAAGTGAAAGAATGTCCACTTACCTCTCCGTGATTGCCGGTGTGGAAGCACACATGACCTCTTGATACAAGATATTCAAGCCACACAGCCATTTATCAGCATCATCTTTAGAATCAGCTGGGGGAAAAAAAAAAAGTGCTGTAAAAGACATCAGTGCAAAAATAAGACACATCTTGCTGTGTGTAGATAAACCCAAGCACAGAGAGCTGCAGGTTAACCTTTCTCTCTGATAAATATCTTGGCACAGGCTTCATGCTGCCTATCTAGAACTAACAATAAATGTTGCAAATTTGGGGCTGTGAGGGTTAATCCTGGAAGCTATGTCAAAAATACCTCCTTTTAAATCTCTGCTTACCAGAGCAGCTGAGTTTCAATATGAAACCATGAAAATATTACTAAGCTCTAGTAATAACACATTTAAGCTTTTTCTTCCCCCTTATCTTTTGTCTCCAAAGTGGCAAATGCCCAGAGACCTAGACCTATGGCAACTAGAAGCAGGCAGACAAGAGAACTAAGTATATTATATTCTAACATCAGGCCATAATACTCCAAACAACCTACAATAAAACCTTAAAGCACTGGCTTTTGATAGACATTTATGAGCTCTTGTCTGTCATAATCGCACCTCTAAATATAGACTGTCCCAGACTAGACTTAGGCATGAGGAACAGAGGAGAGCAAGATATGAAATGAATACAAACGATTTACAGCACATTCTAATATAAGGTAAGTTTAGAAAAGTCTAAAACATTCCTACCCAGCTTTACCACTGTAGGGTTGGAAGGAAGATACACCTGAGAACTAAACTGATTTAGGACTGTCTTGTTTTGTTTTAAATTTAGTTTGTCTTTGCATTTCCCATCAGCTCAGGAGCAAGATGATGCACTGCACACTGGGCACAGCCCTCTCTGGGGAACATGGGATAAAGCCAAAACCAGGGGTTTTTACCCTTTGATGAATCCCTTTCTTTAGCATGCTGGTTCTCAAACTCATCAGCTAAACCAGTTCCGAGAAATTTTCACACCGGAGCTCTAAACTGGGCAAGTTCTTTAACAGACTTCAAAGACAAACAGTCTCAAAAGATGAAGATTACATTTTATTTAAATACACGTTAAAACAATGCCATATTCCCCCAAGGATGAAGCTAGAGGCTGGCTTCAAATCCCCATGGAAGTGTTTTTCAATTAGTTAATGCTTTCGGAAAGAACACCCACCACCAGTGCCAAACCAATATTTTCCCAGGGCAATTCAGCCTTTTATGAAAACTACCATTCCCTTCGAAGTAACAATTACTTTATATTGTTCTAATAAACCATGACAAAATGTTTTAAACAAGGAAAAGGATTTCCCCTTTAATTGAAAACTGTATCAGTCATGCTGTTATGCAGTTCAGCATTATGGCAACATACCTCCTGGTACCAGATGTTTTCAAAGCACTGGCAGGGACCTGTTTTTCAGAACTGCCTGGGGTAAGGGGCAGGGCAGAGGAAACCAACCTAAGGAAGCTGGCACAGCTACATTTAAAGCACAGCTGCTTATTCAAAAATTTCACAGACTTCATCCAACAAGGGCAAAATCTGATCTGAAGTTAAAAAGCTGTTATATGGGATTACACTGTCACAAGCATTCTTTAACTTCCTGCACATCACACTGTAAAAATTGGTTTCCAGTGCTGCAATCTATAAGCAATTAATTCTCACACACTGATGAAACCTTTGCTATAAGTACATCACTTCTACTTTAAGAGAAAAAAAAAGTCTATTATTAGTGTTAGAAAGCTTATAAAGCACTCCTCTGTTAAATAGGTCACAGGAAGCAATGCACTGAGAGAAATGTATACTAAGAGACTACTTATTGCCATTTAAATAGCAGCTCTCCTTCAGTGCGTGCCATGCACTACTCTCTTTAAACAGGCAGTAGTGCTGATCTGCAGAGCATAAGTGACTGCAACACTCAAATCACTTACTGCACATTTAAGTTACACAGCTGTTCTGTTTGGACAAGGGGGGAAAACCTCTTGTAAAACACTGCTTAAAAGCAGACCATTGAAAATGCAGCTGTATATCCACATCATGGTTGGCTTAGTAAAAGGTTTCTCTTAGCTTTTGAATATCTGGTGCACTGTTGAACTGCAGAAGTTAACACAGTAGTGCACTTGGCACTACTTTTCCGTCAGTGTACTCGATTCCAGGGTTCAGTTTAAAGGAGAAACAAAAGTTTTAAGTTTAAAGTAGAAATAAAGAAAAAAGTACCTGCTAAACTTAAGGTGTTGAGGACAAACTGGGTACCATAAAAAATAGTAAAGCAGTGTTGTTCTTTTTGCTTTGCTTTGCAACGCTCAAAGTCTTTCGAGTTCTTTCCTGGGCGAATTTCCTTTATTTCCATCAGATCCACTGAAAGAAAACAACATTACCTCAGTTAATACAAGCACAGTTACATTCTAGCTCAGCCTGAAACAACAAGAACATCTCAGAACACACAAAAATAACTTATAGATAGTTTTTGGACAGGAAATGTGAATTCCATTGGCCTGCAATCCAAATCTTCTCTGGCAAAACTCTAAATGTACATGTACTACTGACTGAAAGACAACAGTAGGGAAGGACCAAGAGAAGAATAAAAAATATCTTGTCATATTTTTATCATTTCATTATCATTGACTATCCACCAACAAAGGTTATATACATAATCTTTAGAGGGTATATGGTTTAACAGATGACATTTACTCAAGCAAGAAATTTCTAATTGACATGTCAACTACTTAGAGACAAAAAAGAGGCAACGTGTAGCTTTTAAGTGCATAAAATTAGATGTTGTATCCTAATTAGTCAGCTAACCTCCCAGTACAGTCACTGGTATCTGTAAAAAGAATATTTAAGTATCTTAAGCACCTTTCCGAGTCGAAAGAGAGAATCCAGCTTCATAATTAAAACAATTTCCAGCCTTTTCCTGGTCAACTCCAACCAGATCTTTATCTTTCATACTGCAGAATGGGAACACTGTGCTAGCACATATTTTCTTAAGTCAGTTCCCTTTTTATCAAACCCTTGCTATATGGCCTAAATAATATCAGTAAGGCAGCACTGAAATAGAAATATGTGCATTCTCAAGATAAGATACTTATTAGAAAACTGAGGAAGTGGTTTTGTTCTGCCTGTGGACCAGACAAATACACAGTTCTTCCCACTTCTGGGCAGTCTTGAGTTATGAGCAACAGGAGGAGGAGCGAAGAAAAACATTTTATGACCGCTCACAAAATGTGTTTATCAGGGCTAACAAGACACAGGGAAAGTGGCTGAGGGTTTTTGTTCATGTATTCAACATCTCTGTGAGATAAAAATGAGGGTGTCATTGCTAACAGAACACACTTAATGCAAAACCAGCAAGACTCCTAAGAGAGGAGGAGCTGAGTGCTATTCAAAACTTAGCTCTGTGGAATACTGTATTTCTACAGTCAATTTGAAAGGTACAAAGAGAAAGAGAAGGAATTTCATCAGCAAAAGTCTAGATAATGAAATATTAATTCATCTAGGAATTTCCTATTCCTTGCAAAGTACCCTAGGCCAAACTTCCCATCGTGTATTTTTTAACCCCAGCTAATAATCCAACTTCCAAAGGAAAGGAACTTTCCAAAGGAAAATTGGACATTAATGGTCAACCTGAACTTGAACTGGGACTTCTGTGTCCCAGTCCATCAGAAGAACATCTTCTACAATCTGCCTATCTGAATGGCTAAATTTAGACCCTAAATTTAGATGTAAGCTCCTCAACTGCATGATTTGCCATAAACAAACATGTTTTGTTCACAAACAGTCCACAAGCAAAAGCTCCCAATGATGGCTTGAATCCTCTAACAATTAGCCTTTGTAGCTGTGTATCTAAATATCTACCTTGAAATGCCTGCATATAAAAAAGATGTCTAACAATTCGCCTCAACTATTTCACATCAGTATCACCACAGAAAAAGTAAGAGGCAAAGCTAAAAAGTAAATATACGGAGAGAGAAGGAAATGGCATGGTCACAATAAATTACAAGGCACTGAGGCCCCCACTGGATAATGCTAGAGAGGGGCAAGAACAACCTCAGGCACCTTCTCTCCCTTCCTTTCACCTAACAAATGCCAACTGGGAAAAACAACTTTGGGAAGAATGTCTTTCATTTCAGTCTCCAGTCATTCTGCATGCGTGAAACACCATACCAGAACGACCTTCTCAAAGCATAAACTCAGCAGCGATAGGAGATTTCACAACTTCATTGCTGTTGTCACCTCAAGTGGCTCTTACCTCACACTGACCTCTGTAACCAGCACACAGACTTGCTTAATGCCTTCCCCCCTGTTTCATATACATTCACTATACTATTTTTCCTTGCACTAGAGCCTTTCAAACCTGCATGGTTTGGGTGGGTGCATTTGCACACATACATGCACAAGGGCTCCTGCATGCACAGGTTTCACGGTGATGTTGCTGTTCTCATAGTCTTGTTTCATTCACACTGCTAAGTGCTGGACCATGAGGGAAGATGCTGGTAAAAATATTAAAAAGTGAAAAAAACCTGAAACATATTTACCTTCCACAAGCTAGTGGCTAAATGAAATAAAATACATTCATCTTCTGTACAGTTATATTGAACTGGAAAAATTTGGGCACATAGAAAGACCTTATAGAAACCCTATTACTATTACATGATCTCTCATCACAAGAGACAAGAAAAGTTCAATTTCAAAGCATATTGCAAGGCAAATATATATATATTTCTCCAATTTGTCTTTGAAAAAGAGATTACTATATCCTAGGCAGAGGAGTGGCTTGGTAAGAGAACAAACAAGCTAAAACCCCACCCACGTGAGCAAATATTCCTAAAACTCTGAATTCAGAATTTTATATTCCTGTACTTCTTAGACAACATTCTATATGGAGCTGTCCAGCAACATTCTGGCAAAGTATCATTACACTTGATAAAATAATTCATGAAACAGATATATGAAACACTGTATGAAAATATTATTCAGATTGTTACAGTCAGAAAGATATCTTACCATATTATAGTTTCACAAAATGAATAGAAATAACATGAGCAATATCTAACTGTATATAGACATTTTATCAGGTGCTTTAGTATTGGCATTTTTCTGCATTGTTGAAAGGAAAGTCAAGACTGAAAACTGGAAGGGGGAAGAGACACACAGTTCGGCAAGCATAAAATTGTGCTCTGGCACCAAGCTCTGCAGTCTCCCCAAGGAGGTTCAGCATAACCTCCTGCATGTTTGAGACTCACATTAATATACCAAGCCTACCAGTTCAGTTGTTAAGCAATTTCTGTGAGCTTTCTATATGAGGTACTGAAACTTTTCTTCTTCATCATATGTTCAAGCTGCAGAGCCACATTCTGCCCTGGCTTCCCAGACAGATATCCACAGGGCCTGATACAGCTGGAGAGGTAAAGAGCTGGACGTAGGCAGTTTGCCAAGGGAAACATCAAGCCCCATATGCTTGCAAGCTCCATGAGACAGTAAAAGATTAACACTTTTGCAGAGGAAGCAGAAATCAAAATAAATTCTGCAGCAAAACTGATGCAAATGCTACAAGATAAGGAGGAGGATCCCAAAACACTCTCCACCCACCCAAAGAAACCCAGTGCCGTTCAAAAAAAAATCTGAGGCTGCTGGTTTACATTTCATCCGTTCTTTTTCATGGCTATTTCTGTGTGTTAAATGGATCTCCTTGGCCATCTCATCAGTCATTTCCTGATTCTGACATCTCCTTCAAGGGACAGTACTCAAGACACCTGCGATTCCCATGCTGGTCCAGGCTCAGGGTTGCATGTGCAGCAGTAGCAGCTCTCAGAGGCTCTTCAGAGAGGCAAGTTGCTAAACTTCAGCTTTTGCTGTAGGGCAAGTCAGCTAATTCAATGGACCATTACACTACTACAGCGCTGCTTGCCAAAAACTGCATGGATTAATTGCTTAGTGCCTTTCAGAGCACCTCCCAGAGCACTTTACTGCCTCAAATTTTGCAATAAACTTTTCATCCTCAATATCTCTGTTGAACTCTATTCAAACAACCTCACAACAGAAATCACATTTAGTCACACTGTTTTAAGTATGAATTACTAGTACCTTTCTTGCACTTAGACTCAGAGGCAGATGGTAAAACAACTTGGATTCCATTACAAAAGGTGTTTTTCAGGCTAAGCAGCAGACACAGCATAAGGTGAGCCCAGACAGAGAGTGACATGAGCAGGAGAACTGCAAACACTTTTATGCAGCAATACCATGCTGCATAAAACACTTTCAACTGGAAAAAATCCACGTGGCTCCTCCAGGCGAGCAAGTTCTGCTTCTGCCTAGTGCCTGCAGTCAGGCAATGCCCACCCTGGCAGCAGCAAAACATTCAGCAACCAGAGCCCCTGCGTTAGGAAGCTGAGCCTGCTTAGCACTAACCAATTCAGCTACCTCAAAGGGCACGTGGAAGTTAACTGCAGAGTACATTTTTGCATAGATAACTTCATTCCAGTCAGGTAATTCGAAGCTGGAGAGTCATGCAGATCATATATAAATGCAGTGAAGCCAGAAAGCTTTACAGGCTATGAACTGAGCAAGTTATCCTTGACAGAACAGTCCTCCTAAACAGCACAACAGAGGACTGAGAGTAACATTACAGACTATTTCACAGAGTGCTGCAAGAGAAGGCACCAACTCAAAATCCACGGGAGTTTATCAGTGTCTGTGGCCCTAAACTAGGCCTATGTCAAACTTTAGATTATGGATTTAATGGAGGAGGAGAAGCAAAAACCTGCAGAGAGATTCAAGGGGTCTTACAGAGTCAGAAATCAGGCCATGAGCACTATGTGCTTCATCGGGTATTTTCAACAACAGTCCCAAGAAAGCTAAAGGGAAACTGCTGGTAATATTTCAGCGAGAAAAACAAAGGCCTCTGATCACCTAAGTGGTGCAGACTGACACACAGGGGGAACTCTCTATATGCATACATTCATATCATCCTTTGTGTCTACACAGTAACATTTTACACAAGAGCTCCCTTGCAGAATCCTTTTCTTTTTACCCCCCAACAACTTACATTACAAAATGTTCCAACGCTTTCAGTTTGGAAAGGCAGAAACTGAACTGTGACACTTGAGCTACGTGCAAATGAGTTCCCCTTAAGCGACGAGAACCTGTCGTTTCCTTTGCAGATGCACTGCGGGTGACTAGTGAGGACAAGGGCTCCATTCTCACTTCTGCAAAGCTGGGGATTCGCTATCCAGCGGCTAATGACAAGGTGGACCTTATCAGCCTGCTTTATTCAAAGCAGCATTGAAAATACAGAGCTTGGGCAACTGCAAAGGAAGCAGGTGAGGCTCCTCTGAGAGGAGGGTTTGGTCACGTGAAGG